GTTTATCCTGGCAAGTGTACGAAAAGGTAATAGAATTTTTTTATTTTAAATTACACATCAGACGTAAGATTTTCAAGTTATTTTATGTATAGACTTAGATCTTTCTATAAATAGTAAGCAATCAATTAATTGTGAAAGGTAACACTGGAACGTACTTATTCAGATGCTTGATTTTCGACTATTAGACCAGAGATTCTGCTAGTTGACTAAATGTGGTAGCGACTATTAAAATACTAGGGTTTCAACTAATACGTTCCTGTATGGGTGTCAGGCGGTGACCCACCGAAGACAAGTGGGGATGATCGTCTTGGGTTCGAGTACTGCGCGCGGGGTCGTGGATGCTCACTGGTAACGATTTTTCATACTAGAACGGAACGGCCGTCCAGTCCTTCCAGGTTCTCGATGGTTGTCTAACATTGATCAGTTCATGATTCCAATAATACGTCCCTATTTATACCTTCACTCCATCTACTCATGTTCGAAATCTGATGGACTAACACTAAGACAAATAACTAGATAGTATCACTGGCTGTCTTAGATGAATTATGGCTCCAAATAAAGTGAATTAACCTGTACTTGGTCACTCAATTACAAGCATAAGTATGTATCAAATCATAATAATAGTATATTATGAAGTATAAAATCGTTGATCTGGGGATTGTAACAGTGTTTGAACTGATTAGAATGCCAGATTGAAGCTGTCAACTTACTGCTTGGAGTTCTCTGGCCTTTTCTTCTACTATTTTGTCAATATTTTCTTGTATAAATTCGATTATCTATTTAAAACGTTTTTTTCATTCTTCTTTATTTTTCATTTTAACTAATAACAATTAAAATTTCTTTAGTTTTGAAAAATTTGTAATTTAGCGTACTAGACTGAATAAAGCTAACTAATAAGTATGATTAGTTTTGTTATCACAAGACATGGACAACTCTCGGATAAAAATAGAATTCTACTATTATATGGAGACCTATTTGAGGTAACCAAGGTGATACGCAGATTGAGACACCCTCTATCTAAGAGAAGCTAGTGTTGAAGGCATGAGATCAATCGACAGAAAGTTGTAGCTTTATGTTTAGTAGTATTTACCTTCAACCTTGACGACACTTATGATGTCTTAAGTATTACTGGTCGACGACTGAATTCCTCCTATTTAGGAACATATTGTGGTGAATTGACATACTTATATCTCAGGCTTAGCTTGAGTCAGTTATGTGATGATTAGCTTAGCTGATAGCCATGTTGTACTGCAACTTTAAATAATACAGTTTCTTACCTCCAACGAAGCAAGAGTTCCCTTTAAAGCTGGAGATCCACCTTGTTGGTGGGTTTCCCGATGGATTTATGAATCATCATTGAGCGGGGTATATGAGGTATTTCATTTTTACAGGTGTTTCTGATGGTTTATTGATATGGAGAGCCAATCAGAGGTAGCGAAAGGTCAATCAACGGCAGTCGGAAGTGACCTAAAATTCAAGTGCATTTCATTGGGATCAGTTTCCTAAGGATAGAGTGGCATATATATGAACGAGTATTTGTTCATTTCATTCTTTAGTCCAATACACTTTTCCGCTCAAGTAGTCAGTTGGTGAGTTAGTGTGTAGCATACCGTGTTTCAGTATCAGATTTCGTACGCCGCATGTCACAAAACTTATATATGAATTTGTAAATGACTATAGAATTACATCTTCCTGTAACTGACTTCTACTAATCGATTGACGTTATGCAATAGATTATAGTGTACATGTTTCACAACGAATCAAATATTCAACGGTAATATAGTTTACCTACTTCCTGTATCGTGTTACATCAGTCTGTCGACGTAACGTATATGACCTAGAACATGTCTTTCGAAAAATCGTAAAGGTGATCAGAATGAGGGGTGAGGTTATCCGTAATGTTTACATGTTTACTAAGTGTCATACTCAGTTTATTTGGTGAGTGGGTGTTCCACATTATAGTGTATTTTTCATCAAAGATTTCATTTCAAAGTCTAACGATATTTGTATTTTTGTCCGGCATGTCGGACTGTACTACATAGTTACGAATAACTGTAACCCATTTTTCAAAATGAAAAAAACTGTATTGAGTTCAGAGACACTGGAATCCCAACCACATATCCTGATTAAGTCAACCCTCGATATATCGATTCCCCAGATTAAAACACACATATATATGCACTTTCTGAACATTTGATTTAATAGATAAAAATAACTAATTGTGGATGTGTAGACCATGCTTTACTCGATCTTGGCTTTCATGTTTTAAAACAGTTTAAGCGTCGGAAACAAGGCTGTATATACTGTCGTTCAATAATACGTGATGTAGATGGTTTAATCGTTAAAGTTGGTGATTGTGTACAATTTGGCTCTGGGCGCAACGAAATATATCTTGGTGAGGTTAAAGAAATACGTTGGGAGCAAAAAAGGAATTCACTTATTGTTGTCGCTGCATGGTAATTACTATTATTTTCTTGTTGTGAAATTCCACATATAAATTAAAGTTATACCACAGCTTTCGATCGTGAAGAAAAACTCCTGGTCTCACGACCAATAAGAGCCCACGTATTTGCGTTTTGTGTTCGAAAATAGTTGGCAGAGAAATTCCACTCTGATTATGGTAATGTTCATCATAGACTAACGACTTCAAATAGAGAAGGATACCGACGACCATATGAGGGTTATAATCCGGGACCTCGAAATATCGTGCCAAATTCATTACCTCTGAACTCTTAATTCAGTCAGTTACGTCATAATCAACGAAGAGCATGGTACAAACGTAAGGTGACCCAAGTTGTCATGCAACATCAGACCAACAAAGCGGAATCAACAAGATATGGTTCGAGAATATGGCTCGAACAATGTGAGATATATAAAGTAATAATGGAACTCCAGGTTTAGAGTAAGATGAGGATCGAATGTTTTTAAGCTATGTATTCCAGTCTTAAACCACCAATTGCGGTTGTCACATCGACTGTTGAGCCAATACTTCCAAACTATAACGAAACCGTTATGTCGTATTCCCTAGTTTTAAATTGTTTCTCAACTGATTTCAGTCCATGAGAAGACTACCTCTAGTTTGAACTGACTGATTTCCGGAGGTAATTCTCGTAGTTCTAGTGAAAAGCCGTGATCAGTGGAGTTCAACCATGTCGGACAGGAGTCAGTTTCAAACCAACAACATTGGAAGATGGTTCAGCAACGCCACGAATAGTTCGAAGTCCCCGGTCAGTGATCTATAGATTAAGCACTACCCGCTTGACCTGAAGGCTCTGTGTTCGATCCCCGTCGGGGTCATGAATGAGCACTAGTGAAGAGACTCACACCAGTACCTCATGGTTCCAATAGTTTAACCAAAATTAATCCGTGGTGTTAACCATAGAATCCAACAATTTCCCCAACCCCCTCTACTTAGTAATGAGCTGACCTCTGACAGTCACCTGACTAGAACGATAACTACTTGTCATGAAGTGAATTACTTTGAAATACAGGTGATAGCTTCGTCTAAAATTACTCACCAATATTAATATCGTCCTTAATAAATGTTTGCAGACTGTATTTTGTTTGGTATATTCCAAACACTTAGCGGATGACTTTTGTCTATAACCCCATTTTGATTGTATGAAAAAGTACAGTTCATTTTTCAAAACGTGATTCTTTTAAGATTACTAATTACACAAATTACTTGTTAGATTGGTAAAAAAAATATGGTAATTCAGCAACTTTGGTTCAGCTATTGAAAGATGATATGATCACAGTTGTGAAAACAATCGGTGCGGATTTTCGGATAGTTCTTTTTTATAAGTATCTGTCAGTCAACAAGAGACATTCGCAATCACATCTACCTGTAATTCAAAATGAGACTGCCTATGAATTATCCATGATAATATTGCCATGTAGGTAACAATATCACTTATTCGTACGTATATGAATAGATCGATTTCCCTTCAAAACACATGAACGCACTATTCTCAGAAATAGAGTTTATTATCACATATTCCAAGTGTGACATAGAATCAATAGTAAATATAATTTCTTTATGGAATTTTTCTGCTATAGGTACTATCAACCTCTTGAAGCTGGAAAAGATGGACAATTAGTACAAGATGTTAAAGGTGCCCTATTTACAACTGAACATAAAGATGAGAATGAAGCCAAGTGCATCAAGCGACGTATCAAAATAGCTAAATCATATGGTCAGTTCATGCAAGGATATTATGGCAAACCTAAAGGACAGGATTCTGTAAAGTCAAGTCAAACACAGTTAGACAAAAACATGGGAGAATTCACGCCTAATACAGATACCGAACAAGTGCGTTTCAATATATATCTCTAAAATTGATTCCGATTTTTCCTAAATTGCTGAAAATAATACCTAATGGAAGATTTTGTTTATTCATTAGTGTTACTGGTCGGACATAAAAGTTAATGAATTTTCGAGTCTCTAAAGGCTAAAGATCACAGTCTAATTGGTTTATACAGATACATAAATATGCCGTAAATTTATATATATATATATAATCGAATAAGATTTACGGACTACAGTATGATTTATGTTCGGTTCCTTTTAATGTCTGTTTGACATTCATCCATAATTCTCTTCATGAATGAAGAAAATTCCTACTAACAACTGGAATACTATGTTCCAGACATTAAATGATCTTTGAAAGTACACATATTTCTATATTAAGGTTCATTCCTATAAAATTATAGAACTAGATAGGATACTAGTTATAATATGATTACAATAAATATCAACTTTTTTTTATACAACAGATCACTCTTGAAGCTGGTGAACCATTGCCATCACCATCACTAACATCAACGAGTCACAGTATCAAATATCCTTCAATCAATGAAAATGATACTAATCAACCTCCTAAACTTCAGATTACGCTAAACAATAATAACAATAAAAATGAAATTATTTCAGATGATAATGAAGATGACGACGATGATGATAATAATAATCCTAATTTCTATCATTATTTTATTGCTGGTAAATATGACCCAGTTAGACAACAAGTACTTACATGGGATACAGAATTAGCTAAAATACTTAACCTCAAAACACACAAAAATAGATAACAAAAAATTCCTTTCTTTTTCTCTCTCTCTCTCTCACACACAAAATATCTCCAAACAAGCATTAAAACAATCAGATTGTATCGCATTTTTTCATTCCTTATCTGTTTTTTTTCTTTCCTGCAATTCTATGATATCGGTACTTGTTTTGTTCCACTTTTCTTTTGTATGTCATCTATTAAACAGTTCAGTAAACTTTCACACCGGTGTGTTTATCACCTTTTTTTGTTAAGTGAATTAATCTCATAATCACCATCAAACATTCAATTTTGTGTGTATTTTTATCTTACATTATCGTGTATACCAACCTCCCCCACTCCATTTTACAACTACAAGTAACTTCTACTTACTCATATAATCCGATGATGTTTGATATGGCGTATGATTTAAGCGATATTATTTTTTTTATTACCATGATCATTGTTAAATATGAATTTGTTTTGTGAATGCCTTCTACAACTTGATACATATATCAAGTAATTGTCCTATGATTTCAGCATATTTTATCATGTGCAAAAACAAACTGTTTGGATTTACGAAAGTGTTTTGTTTTCATTTTAAATGATACATATACACAGAGGGCAAGAAGTGATCAAAATGATAGTACATAAATAGTATGACAATAATATGAGTTGCAAGGAGAATACTTCTTTTTTACAAATAGTTATTCTTTTTCTACAAAGCGGATAGAAATATACGTATTGAAGATCCTGTTTTGTTAACCGGGTCTTTGTTCCATTTTTGTTTTCGGTGGTTTTAAACCGCCTATACCTTTTGATGTTTTGGACTTTTTCGCCTTGAAATCTCGCCAACTTGCAACACGATTAACACGACTTTCCTTTGAAAATAAGAAAAGATTTGTTTGAAGAGAGAAAACGAAATAAACCGTAAGGTATTTCCTCTTAGTTGACGTGCAAAAACAGGAGCAAACAAGTGGTAGATATAGTTAACCTATTGCAATGTCATGGCTCTTGATAGTGAAAACTTGAACCTAGATTCAACATTAAATGTTTATTATTTTTCAATCATCTCGTTACTGATAGTTAAAATAGATATGGATTTATGCATTCAGATTAACAGGGTTTTCATCCAACCCATTAAAATTATTAGCAAGGTGAAACTTAATGAATTGAAATTAAATGATGTAATTTATGGACTTAGTAGGGATTTATGTACTCCATTTTAAGACTGTGTGAGGGCTCGTGGTGAAATCCAGCTCCCCTAATCGGTGAAACACGGTTTGTAGCTCTGATTTATTGGTTAAATGTTGAGTGCTTGGGATGTCAGTCAGTCAGCTACAACGTAGGACCAGGCACATATGTGCATCGGTCCAGGTTGCCATACCTCATTAGCACAACAAGATGAACACCGGATTCATAGGAGTGGTTAGGTCAAAGGTTGCAATAAGGATATAGTATAGGAAGGAAGAATTAGTTCGTAGAAAGAAAGATATGAAGTGATTTTAACCTCTTAGTTTAAGGGAAGACAAAGAGTGTATACACCGACGCCATTGTGATCGATTCTGAGCCATGTCACACACAGTCTCCAACCATTGGTTACGAAAGTCACGCGGACCCCAACCAAGTAGTTTGCATCTACCAACATGGCTAAGACTAGAAGTTAGTGACTTCAAGCACTGATGCCACGTTTTGGTTTGGCCGCCCCTAACTTTCTTCCAACCATCCCCTACACCGGTTAGCATTGCACGTCGTGGTAATCGGTGTTCAGGCATACGTAATACGTGGCCCAACCATCTCAGTCGATGAAGATTCATAACCTTATCAACTGATTTACCATCATTCCCTAATACCCTGCGTCTAACCTCACTATTACTTACCCGGTGATCCCAGCAGATGCCAGCAATATTTCTAAGGCATCTGTGGTCAAATACTTGTAGCTTACGGGTGTCTTCTACTCTTAAAGGCCATGTTTCGCTGCCGTAAAGTAAGACAGAACGGACTGCCGCGCAGTATACTCGTCCTCTTATTGATAGACGGATATCTCGCCTCCGCCAAAGGTGACGTAAGTTGGCAAAAGCCAAACGAGCTTTTCGAATCCGTGCTGAGATTTCGTCAGACACCAACCCATTAGGGCTGATCAGACTTCCAAGATAAGTGAAGTTGTCGACGCGTTCGACTACTTCACTCCCTATCCTTAGTTCAGGTGTTGACGCAGACCAGTCCTGAAGCAACAACTTGCATTTAGAGGGAGAGAAGCGCATCCCAAACATTCTGGCATTGTTGCTTAGTGCTACCAGAAGACTTTGCATTTTGTCAGCGTCTTCACCAAACAGGACTATATCATCTGCGTATTCTAAGTCGATAAGTGGACCTCCTGGAAGGAGATCAATACCCGAGAATTCAGTCGACGAGAGTGTTATTTCCATCAATAGGTCTATGATGAAGTTAAACAAAAATGGAGAAAGTGGACAGCCTTGACGGACACCACTTGAAGTTGCAAAAGTAGATGACAGTTCGCCAGTTCGCTTGGGATGTCAACGGGCATGACTCAGAAAAGAAGCAAGTGATGATTACGTTATAGGTTTGATTGGGTCTCTCATAAACCATACAACTCATCTTGTAGCTAAATGAAATAAATTTTGTATGATTCCTTACTTTATTGCTCATTACCTCTATTAGCATTTTATTACATGATTTGCCAATTTTTATTTTTCCTCGCACTTGCATTTTTGTTTTACGTAGGGTATATATGGAAGCTTTACAGTACCAAGCATTTTTTGTTATTATTTATTCATATATAAATGCCCTGGTATGGCCGAGAGTGGGGTGGGTCCGCCCTCCCTCTCGAAATGCTCTCACATGGCCACGCGTACACAGTCTCTGTCAGGGAAGTCCTACTCACTGCCTTCTCATGGCATTACTGTTGTTTACGAAAATGAGAGGACGAAAAGCGAATGTCCGGCGCTTTAACCGGATTCCAAACTAATGGTGCACATGGGCTCCAGTATCCTGCAGGAACAAATGGCGTATGAACCAATTGTTGGTCACCGGCTACCATGGGACTGCATCTCCTCACGATGCTCCACTGCCTTGTGGATCAGACCTTTAGGCCGAAGGCTCGAGGTGTGGCCCCCTAAGAAAACCACCTGCTTCGGTTTGGGCACCCGGGCAGTATCACAGCCCTCACACATATCGAATGAGATTTGTGTGGCGCATATGTATTTGGTGCCTCCTTGTACTAATGTCTATGTGTTAAAATAAATAAATACATGTGTTCGATCAAAAATATCTTTGAAGCAATGATTAGACGTAGATAGAACATAATGATGCTAGATATGTAGTACTGGTTAAAATAATGTAAATGGGCCGGTGACTTTTGCCAAAGGTTTAAAAGGCAGACGGACAAACATCATCAAAATAGACCCGACCATAACTTACGTTGACGAATTAAAAATAATTTAGTTGCTATGATAAATAGAAAGATTAAACACTGAAATGGTTTGAAAAGGCAGTAGAACGGTATATATGAAGGGATACTTAAATTCAACCTCGAAAGAAAAATAAAGAGTGAATGGGTCTCAAACCACTGATTATGGTTGTCACGTGGACCCCAACCGGGCAGTCTGGATTTACTAGTATGACTCAAACCAACAGTCAACGACTTTACGGACAAGTACCAATTTTTGGTCTGACTCCACGTAATTTTCTCCCAACCTAAAGCATTTCCCATCGAGGTAGGTGGTGATTAGGCATACGTAGTACATGTCCTAACCACTTCAGTCAGTCAGTCAACAACGTAGAACTTTGTATGCACGTACGTCAGCTCGAGTTGCCTTACCACATTAGCACACAGATACAATTGTCCATTCAAATCCCATAGTGGTAGAAGTAGTAAGAGTATAAGCCGTAATCCGAGAGATTAGGGTTTGAAGAGGTTATTTAAGGAGTATAATCCAGTGAAATGAATGTGGAAAGAGAAAAAAGGACATGAAGAATTCAGAAGGTTAGAATTTGGAAGAACACAAAGAGTGGATGTACCTGCGACATTGCTAACGATTTTGAGCCATGTTATTCAAGGTCTCTAACCGTCAGTTGCTATCGTCTCGCGGATCCCAACCAGGTAGTCTATACCTACCAACATGGCTCAGTCCACTTCATAAATTTGTGCCATGTTTTGGTCTGGCCGCCCCTAGCTTTCTTCCAGCCTACTCCTAACCACTTCAGAGGATGAAGACTCACTGCACTGTCAAAATGCCACCTTTGTAAAATATCCTATGCCTAACTTAAACTGGTCTGAGCCATAAAGTGACATGACAATTTTCTGGTTGGAATCTGAGAGATAACCGTAATGTGATGTAGCTCGAAATTAATCCCACTGATGTACATGTATTCATTCTTCACTCCTAAAAAATCTTGAACAGTGTATTGGTTTGTAATCTCCATCTTGTTTGATCAGGAGCCTTTTCTTCTATCTGGCTTTCTATCATCGTTAGTATCATTATTTTACGTCATTCATCTTGTTCTATCATATTTTTGTTATGCTGATTTGAAACGAAGGGAATTGGACTGACATACCTTTAAATTACCCAGTAATTTCTTTCTTTTTGCCTGTCTATCATTAGGACAAAACCACTTCTTGAAATTGGGAATGTATTCGACTTAATTAAAGTAATACTTTAACAAAATTTTAATTAAAAAGTGGTATTTCTAAATTTACTAACGGTCCTGATAAAGACCAAAGCAGTTAGTTGATATATGCAGTCATTTTTTCCATCACCAACCAATTCTATGCGAAACTAAACAGAACTATCAGGTTTGATGAACCCCTGTCCTCATTTGTTAGTGTCATTACGACGATAATTTTAAAGATACGATGAAAAGTCGGCGTTTTTGAGGAGCTTCACAGGAACCATCATGGAAATACATACAAAAAAAGACGAATATACACTAACTTCATAATTCTTTTTCCACTCTTTGTCATACGCCATGAGTTTTCTTCCTTCCTCCTCCTCTTCAGCTTTGCGTTTTCTAATTAAAAATGAGAATCAACGAAAGGAGTTACAGATGAGTGGACATAAATATTATGTGTGCATGATGAATAGATAATACCCTTAGTAAACAAGAGTAACGAATTCTCCACAGATGCCTATTGATGATACCAAGTGAAAATCGTACTATCCCTCAAGATCGCACGATTTGGAGGATGTGGACAATGAACTCCTAACCCGGGTTGGATAACATGCTTATTATTATTACTATACTTACTATACAGTTTGTGGTTTTCATTTGGAGCTGTTTGATGTTGGACAATTTTTAAATGCTTTCTGAATGAAGTCTACTAAAAAATTTCAACTAAATTAGAGTGGAGCATATTAAAATTTTGGGCTAGAATACATCACAGCGTAAGTCTTTACTGATTGAAGAGTGGTGTGTTATGATTGTCTAATAGGTTCTAAACTACCAACGCAATGAAAGATCAGATAGTAATTTTTCACTGTCATCGATGTTAGGATTTTTTTAACTTGTTTGCTACTTACTATGGTTACATATCGTTGCCCTGAAGTATGGTAACGAGAACTGATTGGCATTATTGTGATGTTCTACATCGATCATGACAAACTGGACAGGCAGACCAAACATACATACTATATCACAAACACCACAGTCGACAAAGGCTTACAAACTCACCAACCATCTTCAGAATAATCTAGCCTACATAGATAGGCTCGACCACTGATTATAATATGAGGGATATCCCAAAGATACCTGTAGTTAAATACTCGGATTCGAGTTACGGGACGAATCCTAAGTACTTTTGCTTAGGATATTTCGAAAACTCCATTTTGTCAAAATCCTTACCGAACAAAACTATTTTCCTGTGCGCTCGATGGATGTCTGGGTATATAAATCGTCGAAAAACAAAAATACCTAAGTTTTCCCCTATAGATTTAGAAACGAAAACTTAACTGATACATCTCAAGGCTAGTGGATAGGCAATGGAAAATCAGTTAGGTGGTTTTAGAAAGTAAAAAAAATAGATGAGTCAAACCTAAAGAGCATTACCCGTTCCCCAGATAGCGCACGCAAAATTTGTTTAGATATGTGAAGTCACATAAAATTTACACAGAAGTGTAGTACCAGACCAATAAATAGCAGTGTAAGTTCTGAGAAATGCTTTCGAAGAAGTGACACAAGATGACGACCCATGATGTTTCGTGCTCAGAAATTTGGGGAAATAAATGCATACGATTAAGATAAATTTGATGAAAGTCAAGACTCTAGAGGGACTCCTAAATGTCATTTAGAAGCCTCTGGTATACTAGATCGTTGAATTTTCTGAAGCTTAATAGGGATATATCACTTAAGTCATATGAGATAACAGAGTAGAACCAACGATTACAGCTTAGACATACGAGCAATAATGTTTTTGCACAAGTTGAGTTTTTTAAAAAAAATTCGACAAAGACAAACCTTTCTGAACACTGTTTTTGCTCTTCTTCCACCCTTAGTCTCTCAAGATCAGCGAACAGTTTGCATGTTTGCACATATATGGCATGACGCCGCTGTAACGGTTAGAAACAACAGACAAGCTACCTTTTCAGGGTCATCTTCTTCAATCGTAATAGATCCGCTTGTCTTTTTAACACGTTTCCGTTTCTCAATCATCTAGAAATGATAGACAGTAGTATGGTTGCTAATACCATTTGTTCAACAAGATCTTTCGCTTCCTCCACTACTTCTTTGCATTTGCGGGAAGTTTCGGGGTCATCCAGAGTCTTGTAAGCCTTGTTTACAGCTACTCAATTATTTCACTTAATAAAACAAGCAATACCTTCGAAGGCTTTCTGAGATCTTTCAATATCATCTGGGTTTTTATCCGGATGTACAAGCAGAGATAGCTAAATTGGAATATACAAAATTTGGGGATGAAACCTGTCTGTATTTCTTTTTTATATCAGCCATTGCTGCATCAGGATCCACTTGTAAAACCTAGGTTGCTTGAACAATGTTACACCAAGCATACATCATATGGATTCAAATTAAAATAAGTTGATCCAGGCCGATTAAGTCTATCTATTTGTTGCTTCGGGGTTAATACAGAATCTCGCTTCTCAATAGCCTTGACTTCTTCGTAAAATGTTGAAAACAACTCATTAGGTCCAGGATTCGTAGACATTAGACTTGAGTAGCACTACAAATGTATTTCCGCGTCTCTAATATTCAATACTTTTGTGGCAAATTTTCACAGGTGAAATGCTTCAATCGCGCTCGCTTTTTGATGTCAGAGCGCGGTTCCAGGTTTTCGATATCGTCCAATGTGAGTAGTCTAGCCAATCTGTTATACTAGTTTTACTAATTTTCTCAGTTACTTGAAAGAAGATTTGTATCCACTCTAAATGAATGCTCTACTCAAGGGATTACTAAAACCAGAAGCTATCGCTTTATAGAACACTCGAGTGGTTGGCTATTCTATAGACGATTTCAGGAATGGAACAGAATTGGGTGAACGAAAAAAAGTAAATAGATAAATAGATTTAATGAGCGGCTAAACACGTAAGAAATCAAATGTTTGGGCAAACAACGGGTGAGAGAATGTGGTAAGGAGCGAGGTGATATAAGGAGCTGGTTAATGACAATACGTAATGGATCTCCGTCTAAGTGGTAGGAAAACGTTTTCGACTGTAGGAAGGTGTGCTTCATGTTATGTCCTTCCTAAAGCTGGGTATTAAAACAAGTGGGCTATTAATAGTCAAAGTAATCGTGAGATGACACTTGCATTTATCACTCACACTCTATCCAGCCTTCTTCTGAAAGGCTATGTTAGTGTTGCTTCTGATAAAGAGCTTTATAGTTTGAAGATTTTGGTCCCAAAATAGTTTCCATGGGCTTTTGTGAGAACTCTTTCATGTTTCGCTCTAAATGGAAATCCTCTGAGATGTAACTTCGTACTAAACCGAGTTAGTTATATTTTGGTATGAAAAGGATCATGAGATATATGATGTATCATAATTATATCCAATTTAATGATTCTGTACTGCACAAGTCGTGAGTTTAGGGCTTCAGAGGGGCTAATCAGGGTTCATTTATCAGTTCGAGTACACTTTTAGTTCCCTTTCTTTGAACACATCTCACGACATCATAATGCTTTCTTAAGCAGAGGATCATAATGCAACAGCATTATCCAGATGAAGTCTTAGATAAGTGTTGAAAATAGTTTGTAAAAGGTTCAGAGTTCAGCTACCTAATGCTTATTAAAGAAACTCCAAGAAAGAATACGCTAAGTATAGTGCCATTAAGAGCCACCCGAAGTATGACAGAGTGATACCCCAGGCCTTCAGTAGTGGAAATAACGTTGATAACACTCAACAAGTATGGAATGGGCGTAGTATTGCTATTGTTTGCCATTGGCATCCTGAGTTAATTGGTGTTGAGAATAAGGAGATTATTTGCAGTTTGGTATTGTGTATTGTTCAAGTCTTCTACGACAGTCAAGATGACGTCCAGGTCAACTGTTTACCTTCAGATCTATTGGACGTCTATGTAAGTCAGGGTTTGATATTCTACATGGTACGTCAACAGTAGACAATAAAATGAGAGCTTGAATGGCCAAGTGTTTGTTATTGAGAACAGATTAGAAAAATGGAGATTTATATATTCCAGGCAGCTAACAGGTTTGTGTTATACGGTTTGACTAAAAGTGGTGTTATGAGTCAGAGACGAACGAGTTATTAAGTTAGTGGTTATGCGGAGATTCATCCCAAACTTTCCTATGACCTTCAGTGTTGCAGAAGGCAAAGAAATCATTATATTATTGGGAGATTTCAACCTGATGCCCTGTGTTTATACATGTATCAAAGAGTTAGGTTTGGAAACATTAATCGGTATTATCTGTCTAACCCATATGTTCTCGTTTCAAAGTCACATCGGTGCTTTGTAAAAGCCTTATAAGAACGATAACATTCTTATCGACACACACATAAAGACCTAAGAATCACGTAGATCGACCACCCTTGCATGACTTACCAAAGCAAAGTCGATAATGTCACAGCGTTGACCTGTTTTATCTAGAGCTTATATTCTTAATATATTGCGTATGATTTGAGCACTCGAACGCTAGAATCATCCAAGTTGCAGATAAGAAGACAGAAGAAGACTGGAGAATGTGTTTGTTGGGCAGGAATCAAAATGCACAGGAAACCGTGTGTATTTATAATGATTAGTGTTTGTTAAATCAACATTATAATTCAACCAATCCGCAAAGAGACGTGATATACCAATGACTAACAATAGCATGCTATGTTAATATTATAGAAAGCTCCATCAAGTTCTGATTAGATAGAACTCTTCAGCTCCTCTAAAGCCTGTGGATGGCCTGTCGTAGTTCACGAAACCCGTCCCAACATAACCGTTACCGACTTCCAAATTTTTTTCACCGTCTTAGGTCCTATGTAAACCTTGTAAATTAGTGTACACTCAAATTGAAAAATAGAAATTATGAATTAGTGTTGTTCTACTGTTGCCATGCAGGAACAATCAACCGGTGTGGCATGGTTCAGACTTACAGGCGTGGTCATTCAATATAGCTCATACCTTTCTACATTCAACATGTTATTTTTCCCCCAGCCGAAATGTGTTCTCCAACAGTACTAAACATCATACTGCTGATCGTCATGATAAGACGAATGGTGCGAATTCTACATTAGATCTTGTAGATTAGGCAATCACGTCATTACAAATCTCTGATTTTGGGATTTAGTCTAATACAATAGCAACAAAGATAGACTTACTAATACCGAAATAAATTATAAGCTGTTATCAAAAAATATTTTAATACATCAAAATACTGATAATTTAATGCATTTCGTAATCGCACCTGGTAAATGAGCATGAGTGCGTCCAGCATTGATGTGTCCTAAATTCATTATTGTGTTTCTTAATGAACCATTATTTATAGTCGTTGAACAATCCAGCATTCAACAGATTCCAATATATCTGTGCTGTTAAACTTTTCAGTAATTCCTTTTCGATTTTACATGAACCTGAAAGAAGACAATGAGCAATAACTTCTTTGTAATAATTTAAAAAATGAACGGAAAGGTATGAAGGCTGCACTATTTTTAAAAATAAAGGCTCAAAAAATAAACTTAATATACCTGAAGATACTTTTTCTAATTAGTACGGATACCAGTTATAATAACATTTTGTGAGACGTGTTGTTTGTGCTAATTAATGGTTTCTTTTGTACACGACTCCACAGATGATTGAAATTCCAAATACGTGAAGTCAGTTGGGCCCATTGTGTCACTGACTTCGAGAGAACACTTATACATACAGAACTCCATAATTAGCGATTATTACTAAGCCTCATTGTCACAACCGGAAAACATATTCCTAGCAGTCAAGGATCGATATTCCACCGAAAACAGGATAGATTGGTTTAATTTGCTTTAAAATTAAGTAGCTAACCAACAAATAAGAACTACCCAACCAGTTACCGGCTATCGACAGGCAGCGTTCCTAAAAACCAGAAACTCCACTCTTGTCTCAGTGATACAAGACAGAAGTAGTCAATTCGTACAGTAGTAACTGAGATACAGTAATACATTATGGCGAAAGCAGAATGAAAATGTTAAGTAAAATAGAGATAAAACGGGCATTCGAAGACTCATCAACATCAGGAAGTTATCTGTTTTTAGAATATGTAGACAATGTATTTGAATACAAATAAAAAATATGAACGTAGTGTGCACAAGTACAGAGGGATAAAAGAAGCATCATTTTGAAAGGGATTCAAAGCGAAGTTCATATATCGAGTGCGTTCATGTGGATTTTCACATAAAAATAAACACAAAGACACCAAAAACTCCTTCATTGTACTTGTTCTGTTCATTCAGTGGTGACCTTTAAGTAGTAAGGAAATACTCTTTGAAAACCTCATTTGCTTGGTGGAATCTTATATTACTGGGACCGAATGAGAAGTTGTGAAGTGAAGGATCTGGGTTTTTGAACCTGATATATTTGGGAGTTTATCTGGTCATAAATGTATATGCAAGTGTGTAAATACATGTGAAAATAAGATTAGTAAATAATGACAAAAATGTGGGTTATACAAGAGACAACCCCACATATTTAGAATACCTAAAAGTAACATCTAGGTACGAATGATTACATCGAAACTCTCTGAGAACAATGAGCAGAAGATGATAAGGTTTAGAAGGAAGATTATATAAATAAGTGGGTACAGATGTATATCAACAAGTGAAATCATTTAATGCAGCATACATGCAAGGAAGGCATATCGTTTAAACGTTAAAATTATTTTACAGGTAATAGCCGAACCTACTGACGTTGGATGCCACATAAAAGATAGATATTAAGGTGCCTCGGGTTTTCAGGGTTTGATAACACTTATCCGTAACACCTTTACAATTTGAGAATACCATCTCAGTCAAGTCAGAAGTCAGTAATGGATGAGCTCGAAAAAAAATATTTGGAGGATTGCCAATATGTTGAAGAGCGTTTGATCCAATCTGGCTAGTAGTTTCAAGGGATAAGTAGCACAAAGTACCCATTTTTGATCTGGTGTGTATGCGTGACCGAACGCCTTCAGTTAGAGTTTTTCCACTAAAATAATGACGAAAACCAATCGTCTTTCTACCTAGTCCTCATGAAGCAAACGCAAAGTTATATTGAAAGTATATTTTGTTAAATAGCTGATACACCAATCCACCTATTTAGTCACTGTGATACGAAGTCTTAGATGTGACCTTGTGCGGGTTTACTGAAAGTACTATAGACCAGGAGATCTGACGGGCTGATTGTTTGGCGCCGGTTACAATCGCTGTTTACTACTGACAACTGCCCATATGTTTCAGTTTTTTAGAAATGCTTTGGATACACAGAATGAAGAAGTGAAAATGTTACATAATGAAGTAACAGAACTAGAAAGAGTAAACAGTGAAATACTTGATTTTGTTCATAAGAATGGAAGATTGCCAGAAATTGTGAGTCGACCGATTCGCATTTTACTTTTAAAGATAAATGAACGAGGAAATCTTGAATTAGCTTCTAACAAGGATGATATAGGTGTTTATCGCGGATCCGAAAGCAATCACGACGACAAACATCAACAGCTTGAGGTATTCTTGAAGTCTATAAACATGTTGAGATTTTGCTATAACCAGGTCTCAACTTTTTACAGATTAATATAATTCCATCCAGAGTCCTATATTTCACCTACTAATTATTTTGGGTTCGTCGATAATTTTAGATTTTTCATATAGAGAGTAGTTCTGGTTATATCTTATCATCTAAACAAAATGTTAGTTTTGCGACTTATTACATGGTAGTAAATTTAAATTCTCTCTGTCACTGTGAAAATCAAGGGCGTTACTATTTTTCATCTGTTTTAGTAGGGTATAAAATTCATGTGTGAGATAATCTTGGGATACAAGTAAATAATATAAGAAACCCAGGTGAGACTATAATTTATTGACGAACCAATCAGATATAAGATAACTGGTCGTGGATTTTGGAGCAATACCCATTCATCTATTCGTCTAAATAGCGTTTTGGCATTTTAGCTTGTCACTTTGTGATGAAAGCCCCAATTTTAATTCCTAACCATAACCATCAACTGTAAATCATAATTGCAATTCCTCACATTGGTTTATAACCCTCATTTAGTCCTAGTTAGTAGGTGGATATTCACAATGTAACTTTGGTGTTTTCCAAAGGTCATCCATAAATTATAGTCTCACCGAAATACATGCCAAATTCTTTTCCCGATAACTGAATCTTTTAATAGTTTACTGTACTGAGTTTACTAAAAGTTCAACAAAGTAATTTAACTGATAGTAATTACCTGTTTATCACAAGGATTTCTCTTTTGTGGTGGATAAAGAATGAATTAACAGTCCATCTTGTGTCTTCGTCAGAATGAGGTACAATATATATATATATTAGTAATTTAGTTACATATCCTCGTTAAGGCCGTTCGGCATGCTGATTTCATAAATCACACACATGCGTTAAATTGATGGTTAAATAATGTGAACTATTACCAGTATATTACATTGAAATTTATCTGTTGATATGACTTTCAAATTGATTTATATCTCATTGTACATCTTGGTGTCATTTTGATCAGTCGTGAATTAGTATTCTGTATAAGTTAATCTCTATCTACAGTCTTTTTTCTTCGTTGTACCAAGCCATTTCATTCTTGTTTCGTTGATCAAGTAGCAAATTATTTCGCACCCGCAACAAAAAGCCATACCAACAGAAGTGGCTTCTCCTTCATTGGTATATTAATTAATTTATGACTTAAACATGTCTGGCCTCATCTGTAATGCATCGGTCACCTGTGTAAAACTTAAAAAGCAGTATACTGAGTTCAAGTTCTCCATTGAAAATCTATCCAAAAGTTCTATTTCGGAAATATCGCTTCATTTTATTGTCGGTAAAAGCACGATTACTCTAGTTGTTATCCGTTTATATTATTCAGGCTACATCTAACGCCTGCGCGCCGTTTAATAATGACACTTCTTCATTCCTTTATTGAATGTAGATGGATTCATTTGTTTTTCACCTCGGTCTTTATGGTTCTAGTATTATATTACCTGTCAGTCAACGGTTTTTTTCTTTCTTTTGGCTTTCCATTGTTGACACTGATAGTTTTTACGTCGTGCCTTGTTTTTTTTACTTTCTGTCTATATACTGAAATGAATTATGATGATTTGAGTTCATGCATCTTAGTGCGAGGTTCTGTATTATTTGCTATTAATGCATTGACATTGTCGCTTAGCAGGTTTTATTAGAAATCGTTCAGCAATGTGATCAGGAGAAAGTCCTATGGGAGTACTCTGTGAATAAGTTCTTATTGCCTTTCCTCAAATCAACAATTTCGCGACAAAACTATCAATATTTTCTCATCGGCCGCACATGTACTGATTATCGTCATTAGTTATTATTACTCAAAGCAAGCTGATCACTTCGTTCACGTGTAGGAGGTGATATTGCTATTTGATGTTCAACCGGAAGTTTCACTATTATTATTATTATTATTATTATTATTATTATTATTATTATTATTATTATTATTATTATTATTATTATTATAGACTCTAGATAGCATAACTCAGTCCTATAGTCATTACACTAGGACTAAATTTCTTAGTAATTAGGTGAATCATTTGTATTCAGTGTGAGAATTTGTTTAGTAAGAATGCATCATTTTATGTCTCATTATTTCATTCAAATAATACATGACTGTATTAATTTAAAATTGTCTTCTTGTTTTAGACTGTAACTAGGAGGTCGCCAAATTCCTCAGTAATAACTGATGTGATTTCGAAAAACGCGGAAGAATTAAGCAGAGTATTGATGGTCAGTGTAGGAATTTCTCTGTTTTACTCTTATAGCATGAAGTACTTTCGTACCATTATTTATTTAAACCTTATTAAAATAACCATGCTTTGTTTGACTCTTTATAATTAGATGTAATGTTGTTTAATAATGCAAATTATAGTCATATTACATTTTTATAGTGCCTACATTAGATCCTTCTTCCAATACGTTGAAAATCAGGTCCATCAAACATCTAAACTGTCGTGTTACTTCAATATTTTTCTAAGTGTTTGTTATTATAGTATGTGAAATTTGATTTTATAGTTGTACGAAGACTGATTATTTGCGTTTATTCAGGAGCGGATGATAAAATGCTTCGCTGAACAACCTTATTGTCGACTATTTGGTCAAATGTTAAGGGTGTCACAATTTTATAACCGTCTGTAGGGTTGTATATTGTTCAGTTTGTTATACTTGTTGTGTAGGGATATGTACCTATCTAATTAGTACATATGTAATGAGTTTGGAAAGTAAATCAGCAGTAAAAATTTAAGAAATATAATATTATGGTATATGTGTTATTTTTAAATTTAAATTTAAGCCTCCATACTAGTAATATATGAGTGTTAATATCCAAAATCTTTTTCATACAGTCTTTAATCGACATCAGTAGGAAACTACAGTTGATACTTCTGGAAATTAACATTTCTTATAGGTGCTTGTAATCCCACTGTTTTGACTTTGTATATGTTTGAGCGATTGAGTCGAGTTTGTGTTACCATTCGGCAAGTGTACCTAGGCACAGTTAAGCAAAAAATGAACTGTTCAATGTAACCAAACAGTCAACAACTGAATTGGTCAGTGAAAAGTGAGCTGACCTCAAAGTAACTAGTGAGCTTTGAGCGAGGGTATTGTACAATGAAAAATGTTACTTGCAGGTTATATAGTTACGTTACGTAAATCTCAAAAGTACATATTTTCTGTTTACCAACAAAATTACTGAAATAATTCATCCAAATAAACTTATTCTCTTTCTAATCTTACATAGTCATTGGGTTTGGAATCATCAAAATCCAATCACATCGTTGATCATATTCAGAAAAATATGGACAATGTAGTAAACACGGACACTACTGCTTATGAATCCCAGTTAGATTTTGACAAAAAAACAACTTGTTTGACACCACAACGTGGTATCGATTCCTCGATTTCTGAGATAGTGGACGTATCTGATCATAATGAATCGCCAGCCAATCCTGAATTCTCCGGTGATGATTCTAACCAATCTCGAAATGACGGTCAACCTCAATATTCTTTTCCTGTAGGTTGTTTTCTCTTGCTTCATTATCGTATAACATGTATAGAAAGTTCCTTACCTTACACAACTTGTTTATCGATATCCTAAGTGTTGTGTATATCGTTAGCAATTTCGGATCTTGTTTGAGCTACTTCGGTCTGGAAGACTGAATAGTATCACTAACCGTCACACAAGCTATGTGACTAAAAGCCCAGTACATAAATTCCGTACTTGTTAATCAAATGATATTAACCAGCACATCTTATCTATATTCTCGCTGAACCATGAATAAGATTGCAGATAGACATTTAGAATCTTGCAAACTCCTGGCAAGTGTTATCTTATCAGGTACTAACCATCCACTTCATTCACATCTTTCTACTTGTATATCTTCTGGTAAAATGAGACGCCGATACATTAGAGTCCATTCATGCAATCAAAGGTAAAAAAAGTTTTACAATACCTTATCCAGAAAATCTATTATTCATCGAACAGGTTGTAAGGTCTGACCTTTTCAGAAACTTGTATTTTTGAACATGTTGCTGATTAGCAGTTGTATACGTCCTTGTTTTATCAAAAAACATTTCATTTAATTCCAGAAAATTAATTTACTTATTTCATATGTGCCGCTATCGATTTCATAAATCATTTTTGTAAAAGAAACTTGTTGAAATACTTTGTGCCGGGGATTCCATATTTTACTTAACATACAATATTGAATAAAGCCATTAGTAATAATATTATTGCTTTTTAGTCTTTGTAGAATAATTCGATTTCTTGAAACTGCAAGTACGCGTTTTACGTATCAAGAAGCATGAAACAGTTTTATAACGCTAGGCAACTGGAGGTAGTCGTTAGACAACCCTAAACCTAGGTTTATTGCTAGTTGTCACTTATCGGCAAGGGACGCTTATAACACTCAAAGAACTAATACACTCTTTGTGGGATTCGCCCCCACCTCATCCAACCCTAAAGATCTGATAAACATTCTGTTGATCAATTTACCCGATGACTAATCAATGTAATTATTATGACGTCTTACAGTAACTAGTTATTAGTTTGTCTATAACTTCCTGTTTAAATTTGAACAATACTCGACATATCAGTACTCTTAGTACAATTTATGAATGTATCTGTCTGATATTAATATATTGATTTTGTTTTTATACACAACATTACTTAATCATTCTACTCGTGTTAGTAGATTAATAATTTTTAACATTCCCTTAGCTCTCTTTTTTGTTTCAAGCCCACTATTAGTACAGTGACTTATGAACTTCGCCGTCGGGAATTATTGCGTGCTAATCAACGTATTGCTTTAAATCCATCATATTCTTTAAACAATTCAACTGAAGGTCTTACCGGTCATATTAGCTATCATCAAAACATGCCGTCATCATTATCTGCACAGTTACCATCGTCTGAATGTCGAGCGATTTGTATTCCAGATAATCATTCTTTACATTATTCCAATTCAAATCCTAATACCACAATGTCTCTATCAGACTCTGTATTGCGTTATTGTGTTCCTGAAGTAAGCTCTCTCAGGTTATTCAATATTCACGATATATTTGATTTGTTACCTTCGGCATATATTACGTTCAGTGATAAATGTAACTGACACCATATCCTAAAATTAACATAAATAATGGTTGTGGATTAATTTTGTTATTAGTGATAATGTTAGTGGGTTTTATTTTTATTGAAAAAAGAACGGTTTATTATACTTACTATGCCTTTTCAGCTTTAGTTACAGTAATAGGTGCCTTCGTTTATTTCTTATCCTTTAAATGCGTAATGGAGTAAGTGTACACTGTTCAGTCTTTCGGTGATTAACTCCGGTCCAATAAATTTTCTATCATTTTTAATGTATTCCGGGCATGAATACTATCATGCGTTCTGAAAAAATAAAAAAAGTTTCCGAATTAATCCACTGAATGTAGTGTTCAGAGGGTGATCTTAAGTACTGACGTATCATAAGATATTCGATTTAGATAATCAGCTCTTAGTTTTTTCAAAGATGGACAGAATTATATTGGTTGATGAACTGGGGGATTTATTTGTGAAGATCTGCTTAACACTATTTCAAGACAAGGGATTATCATACTCAGTTCCAGAGGTTTTATTTAAAAATCATCTTGGTATACAATTGCTATAAGTAGGATAGAAATTGTTAACCATTGTCTTGCCATGAAACATACAATTACGGTACCTAACTGAGAAAACACTGTTTCACTCAAATCATCACTCCAGCTACAAATGTTCTCCACTATCTTAATCTTTTTTCTTACTAACATGCCTACTGCCCTAACATTTACTGGATTTTCAATCTTTTTCCTCTCTAGAAATCTAACACCGATGAAACCAACGCAAACGGTCATTCATTATCTTGTCCATGTGGAAATCCTCAAAGCTGTCCATTATCTGAACAGAAAATTGAACGTTTGGTAAGTGTTTTCCGTATTTTAGTTTTAAGGATTTGTATTTTTCCGTTGTTGATGTTGAGGATTGCGATTGATTGGTCTCTTCTGACATTTGTGCGTGCTGAGTGGATCGTCACGATAATTCCGTTGAGTCCTAGATGTGTACAGTGGCTACTAGTTGGATACAGAGAAGGCGTTTCGTCGTGTTCGGGACTTGTCAGTTGAATGTGCCTTCATCTCAATGCTGATATTCCTATTGGGATCCAGATACATCCAGCTGAATACAATGAAACGTACACCCCGAATTCCATTTCTAGCCACTACATAACTTTAGTTTTATAAGTATGATGCGCTTATTGTCTAGTTGTTTAAAATAATCTTTCGTTTTTGAAATCATATCTTGTTTAGTTCAACATTGCAATGCAATTTCCAGCCGTTATATTGTTACACAGTATATGGGTAACTGAGTTGATTTTCTAAGTTAAAACAATATGAGTTGCGATAAACTGTAATAGCGGAGAAGATTTGTAGCTCAGGTGGATGATTTTGGTGGAGTTTTGTTCTCTGAGCTGGATGGTTTGGTCGTGGAGCTTTCATCGTTCTTCTGAACGACATCATCAACACAAACTTCAGATAGAAGTGAAGTGTTCGAATTACCCCATATGTGTTTCACAGCTTGTTCTGTGCACCTCGATGTTGATTGGTTCTTGTTGACCTTAAATTTATCATTGTTTACTTCTTTGTTTTGGTTGTGTCTCCCATTGGTTTGATTTTTGTTCCTATATTTATGCATGCTTTTCCTGATTGGTTGATAAATTGGATTAATTTCAATATGTTTGTTGATTGCTGATTGACCTGAGTGCCAAGCTTCTAAAAATTCTCTGGTGTTTTTGGAGTTTCCTCTGTCTAAGATTTCTACATTTTCCCAATCGAATGAATGTCCGTAGTTATCCACGTGTACTGATATAAGTGAAGAGATATCATGGCGTTTGACTGCTAATTGATGTTCATGTAGGCGTAGGTGGAGGGGGCGTCCGCTTTGTCCGATGTAGTGTTTGTCGCAGTTGGTACAATTTATTTTGTAGATGATGTTTGATTTGTTTTCCTTTGTTATTTCACCTTTTGGTTTGCATAGGATTGATTGTAATGATTTTGTTGGCTTGTGTGCCACACCTATCCCGAAGGTTTTCAGCAGTCTCGTTGCGGTTTCTGATATTCCCTGTATGTACGGTAGGGTGATCCTTTTGTTGATTTTTGTGCTTGATTTGGTTTCCGACGCTGTGTGCCGTTGGTGCTTTTTGATGAAGTTGATTGGGTAGCCGTTCTTTTGAAATATGTCCTTCAGGTATTTCTCTTCATTTTTTTCGTGCTGCCAGTGTGCTGCAGTGTGTCCTCGCCCTCTTGAACAATGTGTGTACGCAGTTGATTTTGTGAGCTCTTGGGTTGTTGCTGTTGTAATTGAGGATTTGATCTGTATGGGTCGGTTTCCTATATACTTGAGTTTCCAGTTTTCCTGTATCGGTTCTAGTGATCAATATATCCAAGAATGCTAGTTGGTTGTTTGACTCCTGTTCCATTGTAAACTTGATGTCGTTGAAAACGTTGTTGATTAGTTTGTATGTGTTTTCCAGTTCATCCTTTTTGACGATGACAAAGGTGTCGTCTATGTAGCGAATCCAAACTTTTGGCTTGATCACTGGTAATATCGTGGCTTCTAGTCTTTGCATCACTGCTTCTGCGATCAGTCCTGATATTGGTGATCCCATTGGTGTCCCTTTTGTTTGTTCGTAGATTTTGTTGTTGAATTGAAAATATGTTGTTAGGCATAAATCGATGAGTTCCAGTAGACTTTTAATTTGAAGCGTCGTGTATTTGGTGAGATTTGTGTGGTTGTTGAGTAGCAGGGAAATCCAGTGGACCAGTACTCCCTCGATTTTACGGTAGACCCAAAATACACAAACCAAACATTCCACTACGTCCAATAGTAGCACTCCCCGGAACGCCAACATACAATTTGTCAAAAGAAATTTCACGAATACTGAGACATCTAGTAGATTCAGCCAAACACTCCATCAAATCCCCAACACAATTCCTGGACCAAATTAAGGATATTCAAATCAACAACGACGAACTCATGATATCCTTCGACGTAACAGCACTGTTCACCTCAATTGAACCACAGCTAGCAAAAGAAACGATATCCCTGCTACTCAACAACCACACAAATCTCACCAAATACACGACGCTTCAAATTAAAAGTCTACTGGAACTCATCGATTTATGCCTAACAACATATTTTCAATTCAACAACAAAATCTACGAACAAACAAAAGGGACACCAATGGGATCACCAATATCAGGACTGATCGCAGAAGCAGTGATGCAAAGACTAGAAGCCACGATATTACCAGTGATCAAGCCAAAAGTTTGGATTCGCTACATAGACGACACCTTTGTCATCGTCAAAAAGGATGAACTGGAAAACACATACAAACTAATCAACAACGTTTTCAACGACATCAAGTTTACAATGGAACAGGAGTCAAACAACCAACTAGCATTCTTGGATATATTGATCACTAGAACCGATACAGGAAAACTGGAAACTCAAGTATATAGGAAACCGACCCATACAGATCAAATCCTCAATTACAACAGCAACAACCCAAGAGCTCACAAAATCAACTGCGTACACACATTGTTCAAGAGGGCGAGGACACACTGCAGCACACTGGCAGCACGAAAAAAATGAAGAGAAATACCTGAAGGACATATTTCAAAAGAACGGCTACCCAATCAACTTCATCAAAAAGCACCAACGGCACACAGCGTCGGAAACCAAATCAAGCACAAAAATCAACAAAAGGATCACCCTACCGTACATACAGGGAATATCAGAAACCGCAACGAGACTGCTGAAAACCTTCGGGATAGGTGTGGCACACAAGCCAACAAAATCATTACAATCAATCCTATGCAAACCAAAAGATGAAATAACAAAGGAAAACAAATCAAACATCATCTACAAAATAAATTGTACCAACTGCGACAAACACTACATCGGACAAAGCGGACGCCCCCTCCACCTACGCCTACATGAACATCAATTAGCAGTCAAACGCCATGATATCTCTTCACTTATATCAGTACACGTGGATAACTACGGACATTCATTCGATTGGGAAAATGTAGAAATCTTAGACAGAGGAAACTCCAAAAACACCAGAGAATTTTTAGAAGCTTGGCACTCAGGTCAATCAGCAATCAACAAACATATTGAAATTAATCCAATTTATCAACCAATCAGGAAAAGCATGCATAAATATAGGAACAAAAATCAAACCAATGGGAGACACAACCAAAACAAAGAAGTAAACAATGATAAATTTAAGGTCAACAAGAACCAATCAACATCGAGGTGCACAGAACAAGCTGTGAAACACATATGGGGTAATTCGAACACTTCACTTCTATCTGAAGTTTGTGTTGATGATGTCGTTCAGAAGGACGATGAAAGCTCCACGACCAAACCATCCAGCTCAGAGAACAAAACTCCACCAAAAACTGTAATAGCTTTGTTATGGCCAAAATCTATATACATTTACTGTATATTGTATATCATTTTTTAGATTTTATGAAAGAAATTAGACTGAACAAATGAGGCAAACATGAAAATTCCGAAGCTAACTTGTGATATTTGTTTAGAACTACAGTGGTGTTTTAGAAATGATAATAAACACTATTAATTTATAAACCTTGAAGTCATGGGTTAACCATGTTTTAGTTCATGTGTCTGTGGGAAATTTGAAAAATAAATAAATCTTCCACATCAATAAATATTAATAATTTTACAAAACTGACTATGAACACTTAAAGAGTACATGACCACTATCAAGACTGACTGCTTCAGTTCGAGCGCCCGAGTAGTGTCCCATCCCTCACATAGATCAAATTATCTGTGTGGTGCATATCCATTTGGTGCCTCCTTGTAACAATGTTTACGTGTCTAAATAGTAAAATAATAATCAAAACTGAACATTAACAAGTACTGTTTAATAAATCTTCTATCCAAGAATAAATCAATCAAAATAAAATCTTTGGAATAGAAAATGAGTAACGTAATTATGAGTAGCAAATATTGAATCGAAATATGGAATTAAAAGTAAATGAAGTAAGTGATAGTGATCTTGTCAAAGCATTACACATCAAACATAGGGATAAATGTAATACAACTCATACTATTCGACACTAGTAAGTAGTATAGGGTTACAATGGTGTATTGATAACTATTCATTGAGTAACACCGATATTTAATAGTATAATAAATTGTTAACTAGCTTCGGGAAAATGTTTAAATTAAATCAACAGCAACAAAGATCATAAAACTCAGCTACTCTGTAGATTACTGTTTTAATCAATGTACAGACTTTGACAAATATAGATTATCCAAAGTTTCCTTCAGTACATTCTAGTTTTAGAGTATAGTTAAGCTTTTCTGCACTGCTGAAATGAAACTCCTATTAAAACAATTTTTGTGCTTTTTATTAACCAATAAGTGTGTAAGTGATTTAAATGAAACATCTACTGATGAAAAGTATCGGGACTTAAATGTATACAATGTTTTTATGTATTCTTAGGATTGATCATAGTTAATAATCATCTTTTTGAGATCAAAATCAAAGTATTTTAAATACATAGACTCGCCTATATGATTTTAAATCAGTTTTTCCCCAGAATTCTTTATAATGTAGTAAATAGTTTTCGAAATGACTCAAAAGAGCTCCCATTCAACTTGTATGTTAACTCGTTAATAAGACGACAATTATAGGTCAGTCAGTCAGTAACAACGTAGACCTTCGTACGTACGTACGTACGTACATCAGTTCAAGTTGCCATACCATATTAGCACAGAGATGCAGTTGTCGATTCAAATCCCGTAGTGGTAGAGGTAGTAAAAGTATACTCAGTAATCAGAAACATTAGGGTTTGAAGATGTCCTTTACAAGGCTGAAAAAGCTATAGGGGATCTGAAGCCGTATTATTTCTCAACCTTAAGGCAGCATTTGACTCTGTTGATCTTGAGGTTCTATGGTACTGTTTGTCACTGAAAAGAGTACCAAAGAAGTACATTGACCTTATAAAGGCTCTCTACTCATCTGTCTTATTCAAGTTTAATTACTTAGCCATACGCTACAAAAGTACATAATATTCCGCGTCCATTACTGATAGTATGATTTATCTAAGATTTAACCTAAAACAAACAAAAAAAACGTCAAAACACTTCACATTAGAAAAACCTAGCACCTCACTTACCTTTATATTGATGTCACTGTGTTTCCACTTCACAATAGTACTTTCTCCCTAATCTAAGGAGTCTGACATACTTTAAAAAAGGCATATTCAAAGTTTCGTATTTAATGGATTATAGTTGGCACTGAATTTGTATACCAAAAAACAAACAAATAGAATAGCCACTATCATTAATTTAATTGACTATTAGGTAGGTCTACTTAAACTATCACTTCGTACCTAACAATCAGTGTTGTAAATTCAATAGGTATTTGCGAATGTAAAGTGATCAAGAAATAATATCAAATTTTACAATATATTATCATCCCACTACTCACTTTGTTGTATATTTTTATTTCTAGTGTAAAAATCCTGGTATAATTCATGGTTTCACAGTTCTTTCCGCTGTATTTCGTGGTCGACTCACTAGACAATTATTAGCTACACGTAAAGTTCATGATTTAATACGTACTGTAAAAGTAAGTGTGCAGAAAATAATTTCATACTATGCAATTTTTCACTTATTATCTGATTTTAACCTGATTAAAATTATGAAATCCAACGAAACGATCTTCTTTTTCAACGAATTTTTCTTTTATCATGTTGTACAATCGCATTACTTACTTACTTACGCCTGTTACTTCTCGTGGTGGAGCATAGGCCGCCCACCAGCATTCTCCATCGTATTCATATCTCTAAAAATTGTTTAAATATTAGTTCCGTGAAGACACATATGAACACTGAATAAACGTGATAATGTAATCGGAAGGTTATAATACTAGAATATGTAATGTAAATATCGACAATAAACGTTTGCGTGTATGTGTGTTCAAATAAGAAGCCTTGCACAAATAATAAGTTAACAATGTATGATAATACTGTGAATGGAATATAATAATCGAAATCGCTATCTGAAATTTGTTTTTATTATCCATGTATACTACTAGTTAAAGCTGAAAGATATGGGCACTCATCTTCTAATCATTAGATACGTGTTAGTTACTATTATAATTTAATATTTTTACCAATCGAATCTCACTGTAAATGTTCATTCTTCTGATATACATCACTTATGTAATCTTACAGGTGAGTTATTTTATTCCCATGTATTAGGTTAACCATTCTGTACATGTTTACTCATTTTACACGTTACGTAGAATGATTTGATATGTATGTGTAATTAACAAACAGATAACAATTTAAATCAAATTTATCCTTGTTTTAACCATAATTGTTTTTCTTTCAAATTCAATGTCGGTAAGTGATACAAATCCTACAATTTTAGATAAAGACAAGGATTGCAGAATGATGTTTATTTATTATGTTTCAGGGCTTCTCATCAGCTGCAAACGAACCAAATTTATACTAGAAACTTTAAATTCATTTTGTATTGTTTGTTTGTATTTTCCCACTGATATTTAGGGCTTCAGTTGATCAATCTCTTATTGGCATATATACATCCTGTGAGGATTGGCTCGATATTGCCTTAAGTCACAAGCATTATAAGCAGAGATGGATAGTGGCTTGCAGTGACATCCTAAACGTGCGTTTCATCCTATTTGGAAATTACATCAAATTTCAGTTGACGAGTCCCAAATAGGATGAAACATGCATCCTGGATTCCACCACAGGCCATCATCCATCTCTTCTTATAATGCTTGTGACTTAAGGTAATATCGAGTCAGTCCTCACTGGATGCACATGTGCCAATAAGAGACTGATCAATTTCAGTTCCAAACATCAGTAGGAAGTTACATTAGCAATATTATTCTCAAAAAATATTTTTTCTTCACGTACTATAATCCATGAAGTTTATTTCGAAAGGACATAAGAAACAAGAAAGCGAGACAATATATTTAACATACTCAGTCAGTCAATCAGTAATAACATAGAACTTCGTACGTACGTACGTACGTAAATCAGTTCAAGTTGCCATACCATATTAGCACAGAGATGCAGTTGTCGATTCAAATCCCGTAGTGGTAGAGGTAGTAAAAGTATACGCAGTAATCGGAAACATTAGGGTTTGAAGATGTTATCCAAGGAGTATAATCCAGTGAAATAAGTTTGGAAAAAGAAAAAAAAGGGACATTGAGAATTCGGAAGATTATAATTTGGGAAAACACATTTAACATACTAGTTGAGATCGATTAGTATTTCATGTATTGAAGATGAAATCAGAGAAAAAGAGGGTTAAATTGTGATTTTTTTATCTAATAGATGACGGATGGAAACAAGCTGTTACCAAATGAGTAATAAACAAAGCACCCATTTGACATAACATTAAAGTCTTGAGTGAATGTCGGTAGGATTTTCCATATTCTAATTTATAAACTACAATGAAGCGATGATATAATTGACAAATGTCGAAATAATATAGCTAACCTATCATGAAAGTGGAGGGTTTACTACACTTTCAGGATATAAAGGTCAGGTCACAAGCTTCTGATGATAATGGCCTCTGTAAGTACGGTAGAAGTGCTGTTCGTTGCCTGTTTATTATTTTAAACACCTTTGTAGTCTCTAATTTGTCCCTACTATACATAAAATGTCAAGTGATATCACTTATGGATACTTTATTTCCTTTTAAACACAACTTTCGGGGAATATGTTCAGAAAACTTGTAGATGACCTCCTTACAATCTTTCCTGTGTATTTTCTGTTACAAGTACATGTAAATTCATTAAGATGTATTTGAGCGTGATCTCAGAAAAGTATTGATCTATTTTTGATGAATTTAAGGAACATCTCAGATTATACATTGAAAATAGGTGGATCGCAGGGAAACTTCTCTTTAAAGCTGCTTTAATCCTTTTATCAATTCTACCTGATATCTCTTCCCCTTTGAATCCATACTGGTTAGAAACAGGTATTTTATTTGGAGATGTGATAGAATTTGATTATAATTATAATTCCTCACACATGTTCATAACCCTCATTTGATCCTAATTATTAGATGAACACTCTCAAGATCAGTCTAGCGTCACTCAAATGTTGTCCATAAATTATAGTCTCACTTCAATGTTTCATCCAAATAACTTATCTTCAGGGTATTCTGACTTCTCTATTATATTTGGCGCCCAATTTTTGGTCATATTATTCATTCGAATCTTGATGAATATTTGTATATTTCAATAAATAACAAATGAGGTTAACGTACTAACCAAGGGGTAAGGAAGAACAAAATTTAAGGGTCAGATAATAGTCCAATTGACAGATATTGTATTTAAATTACTATTTTGCACTTTAAACTTCAATCATTTATTATTACGGGATCGTGGATGCGCACTGCTGAGGAGTCCCATACCAGGACGAAATGGCCGTCCAGTGCTTCCAGGTTTTCAATGGTGGTCTAGCTTCAACTGACTCATGATTTCAACCTGTGGAATTTCTAAAACTCTCCACAAAACCCATTCTGATTTACAATTTTTCTTGATTATTATTCAGTCTATTATTATGACCTTTGATGTTTTGTCGTTTTTCTTCATATCTGTCAATTGGACTATTATCTGACCCATAAATTTTGTTCTTCCTTACCCCTTGTTTAGTACGTTAACCTCATTGGTTATTTATTGTCGAATCCATTTTTTTTTTGTATATTTATTTAATTATTAAATTTATTACTTTTGTATTATAATTATTTATTATAGGATACGGCTAAATTAATTTTATCTATACGATTAGATCAAAGAAATATATCGTTTCAATCAGAATTTGTATCAACTAATAAAACTATACATCAATTAACTAATAATGAATCATTATTATTAGAATCAAAATTATTAATACAACTTTATAATATACTTAATGAAATTCATGAAATCTTCTTTAAATGGTCTATAACTAAACAAATTTCACTTATATTTAATTCTAATCTATCATCATATAAAATGGATTATTCATTTACAAATTTAACTAATCAAACATCAACAAATTCATTACGGTATGATATTTATTAAATTTAATATTGAATGTTGTAATTCATTTATTGATTATGTGTTAATAGATTAAGATTAATGTTATAGTTTTTATGCTCTAGTACAACTGAAAGTAAGGAAAGTTAGCTCTCCTTCTCGAAATACTCTCATATGCATACAAACACTGTTAGGGAAGTCCTATTTAGTGCCTTCTCATGGCGGGAGTGTTGTTTACGAAGTTGAAAAGGATGAAAAGCGAATATATGGCGCTTTAACCTGGTTAGTGGATATGGAGGATCTACATAAGGGTGTGTGTGAAAAACTCTGATTCCAAACCAATGGTGTACATGGGCTCCAGTATCTTGAAAGAATAAATGGCGTATGAACCAATCGTTGGTCACCGGCCACCATGGGACTGCATCTCCTGACGTTGCTCCACTGCCTTGTGGATTAGACTTTTAGGTCAAAGGCTCCGGGTGTAGCACCCTAAGGAAACCACTTGCTTCGGTTTGGGCAGCCGGGCAGCATCCCAGTCCTCATACAAGTCGAATAATTTATGTGGCGCATATCTATTTGGTGCCTCCTTGTACCAATGTTTATATGTTTAAATAAATAAATTTTATGCATGAGAAATGTTATGTCCTTAATTTATATGATTATCAAGAAATACGATTGACAATTTAAGTACTCTGACTTATCCACGATCAAACTAATGACGTATACACCAGTACGAGTAACTTAGAGTTCCGATTGGTCGTTTTTTCTCCTAACCACTGCCTGTTAAGTTCAGAACACCAATCTCAGTCTCCGTGATACGAATCACTTATTTCGAGCATACTTCGTTTATTATATACAAGTCAAACAGAAAATAACATTTATACAAGGTTAAGCTAAAAGTGGGTCGTGATGGTGAGGAACTGTTACTAATAAATTGGAAATATCTCATGGATAGTAAATCGTATGATAATAGTCTGTAGGCCAAATAAAAGCTTATAATGAGGGGAATATAGGCATGTGTAGTTTAGTTTCCTAACAGTTATATGATAAGAATATATGTATAATATTAGTTCATAAATAATTACTAGCGTTTACCATTCATTTATTCTCGTCCGGATATAACAAAAAGAGCTAGCTATTCTAGTTAGTTATTGGCTTCATATATTGTAATCATTAACTGTTAGACTGACTTGTGTTGGTAGGTGTAGACCACTACCAGATGGTTAGGGTTCTCTCTTCAATTGTCATAACAAGTGGCGGTGGACATAGGGTGAGATGACTTAAAATTGGTTACAACCGCTAAGATGTATTAACTTATTGCCTCCCTTCAGATTTTGAAATTGGAAATGATGCTCTACTTTTTATTTCGCATATTCTTCCTTCTTGAATCATATTGCTTGTTCTTAATCTTTTCTACTACCAACACAAATGATGCTACTACTACTACTACTACGCTGTCTGACCAAATTTAGTTCGTAATGCGAAACTGAATTCAACAGTAGTTCACAAAACTTTACAAAATAAATTATAAGTAACTGTCCAAATTGTTGGATTACTACCTTTCTTGTTTCTTCCTGTTCTTTAGTATCCTTCGACAGTTACAACCTCATCAAGTGAATTCCTTACCTAAAAGTAAACAGATCAATAACAACGCAAATGGCGAAGAAAAGTAAGTGAGTCAATCAATAATAGTGTTGATTCTTCCTTCATATGTTCCAATTTTTGTATTTGGTCAATAAATGGTCCTTTTTAAGTGATTGAAGATCTGTAAAAGGCTTCAACAACACTGACGTCATTAATATTTTGAGAAAATGGGATTCAATTAATTTTTTTGTAAATTTACTTAAGCATCTATTTGTTTGTTCTAAATATAATGACATATGAGAAACATTCCTAACTTAGTAACTGAATATTATCGTAACTGTTACAAGACCCGAAACGTTTTAGTTATTATTCCGTAGGCTATCGTATGCAAGAATGGACAAGGAATTGTTAGTCAAATTAAAACTAGTTGTTCAATGTCCTCATTTCTTAAATAATTCTTCACCTCCTCTCAGTTTATAATGTCAAAACTCAAATCATGGTGATGATTTAAGAAATTTTATAATACTTATAACGAAAAGAATTCTCTGAAGTCTACCCCACCTAAATGAAATAAGTCGATTAAGCCTTGAAAATATATATGTACATGTAAATTTTTTATTGTACCTGTTATATTATCAAGTATAGGGATTTATGGAGATTGTCCTATTTTCACATTTTAATTCAAGAGTCTATCTAAGCTAGACACCACTATTGAAAACCTGGAAGCACTGGACAGCTGTTTCGTCCTAGTATAAAATCGATAGAATTCGATTTGCACTAAGAAGCATCTGACATACATGACATTAATCACCACCTAGTGACCAATCAATCGTAAATACATCTCAGTCCTACAGGAGGTCAGTCGTGGCTCAAATAGCTCAGTGGTAACGTCTCTGACTTTGAAGCTGGCTGACACGGTATCGAATCCGTTAGGGAGCATCAGTTCCCTCAAGATTACATGTACACCTTGCTGACGACTCTCAAGTACCACGAAACCTAAGTCCAGGATTTCCTGTTCACTACCTCCGATCACCATCTTATCTCAACATAGTGCACGTAATCTCAAGTGATCTAGACTGGTGGCTACATTACAACTTGGTCAATAGGGTTCGATGTGCACTAAGAAGGATCTGACATACGTGACATTGATCACCACCTAATGATCAAGCAATCGTAAATAACTCCATGTAGTTAATTCCCTTTATGAATTTAAATAAAGTCAGAACAAATAATAATGCAGAATAATAAGAATTCATTATAGTTCGTGGTTTATCGTCACTTGCTTACAACCAAATATGTATTAGAATTTTACATTGAGATAAGAAATAGTATGGAACAATTGACATATGAATGTAAAGGATTGGAATGACAACGGTTATCAATGATAACTATATATATGTATGCAAGAACATGTCAGAGGTTATTAGGTGTTAGAATTGTTAGGATAGTCGGGAAAAATAGACCAATAATTATCATGTTAAGTCCATTGGTGTCCTTGGACCTTAAATGTACATTTCCCATTGGTCGATATTTATTTAACGTGTTATTTTCCTGTTGGCCAATATTGTACAATGTTATTTTCTATTTTATGGTACGTTGTGGTCTGCTTGACTAGTATATAAACAAAGTATGTTTGAAATATAATGATTCATAACTCCGAGGCTGTGACTTTTGTTCTTGACTCAACTGGCTGGGGACAGATAGCGAGGCAGGGCCAATCAGGGCACTAGGTCATCCTTACAAGTTTACGTGTCACGGGTCACTGTCACAGAAGCGATCGATATAACGCTGCGTATCTAAACCTGCAGTCACTCACCCGTTACAACAATTGGCGACGGGGTGGAGAAAAATTTTGAACCCTGTAATTGGACAAGATTCAGCCTATCTATTTTGACCAATCAGTATCCAGATTTGTCATTGGTGTCCTTGGGAATCATTGGTTGTTAATTGATTACAGTATTTCTCATTACCCTGCTGACTCAGAAAATGAATATCCTTCCCGATCAATTGCAGCTACTACTAGATCGCCAGCAGCAGCGTTTCAGAGAAAGCCAGTTGAATGTTTTGGACTGTATGCGCACGCGACTGCTAAATCTCCCATGTTTCGGAGATGTGAAAGAAATTGATGAATTCATTTCTCACTTACATTCTGAACTCGAGAATGACTGCAGGACATATGAAGATGAAAACAAAAGCCTCTATGAATCCCTTATGATCAGTAATGCAAATGAGGCAGTCGCTCATAACCCGTCTAGCGATCCGGGAATGTCCAGTTCAGAATCATGCCCTGTTGTGGGTTCAAATCCCACTATTCCTGAAACGTGTACAGACAGTGATGTACCCAGCTCACAGGAAGATCTTTCATTAAATGCTCATAAATTAATTACAGTGCCCTCTCACAAGGAAACAGGAAACAAATCGTGCACTATACTGAGTCTAGCTGCTCCGAACGGTCCTCATCAGTCAACAACAGGAGACTCTGATGAATCTTATTATCTGGATTCTCTTGTACCAGAAAATGTGTTAGATGCCACAAATGATGATCAGAAGTTGAATACAATTTTGATAGATGTTAATTATCCCAGTGATCGACTATCCACAAATGAGTTTTTCAAGGAATTCTATGGTAATGTTCCAGAAGAATCAAAGGTTGATGACTTCATATCAAGCGACGTTGGTCCACACTACTTAATCACTTTTAGTGACTTCTCTGTTCCATGTGACTATCATGTGTTAAATAAAGTCAAATTAATTTTAACTTGGAGAGATGAGGACCCAACATTATTTCGTGGGGGAGGATGAACCCAGAAAATTTTAAAATGCAGATATGAACTCCGGATCATTCGAAAAAGGGGAGGTGTTAGGATAGTCGGGAAAAATAGACCAATAATTATCATGTTAAGTCCATTGGTGTCCTTGGACCTTAAATGTACATTTCCCATTGGTCGATATTTATTTAACGTGTTATTTTCCTGTTGGCCAATATTGTACAATGTTATTTTCTATTTTATGGTACGTTGTGGTCTGCTTGACTAGTATATAAACAAAGTATGTTTGAAATATAATGATTCATAACTCCGAGGCTGTGACTTTTGTTCTTGACTCAACTGGCTGGGGACAGACAGCGAGGCAGGGCCAATCAGGGCACTAGGTCGTCCGTACGTGTTTTACGTGTCAACTGTCACAGATCGCGATCGATAATAAACGCTGCCTAGCATAACCTGCAGTCACACACACCCGTTACAACAATTGGCGACGGGGTAGAGAAAATTTTGAACCCTGTAATTGGACAAGATTCAGCCTATCTATTTTGACCAATCAGTATCCAGATTTGTCATTGGCGTCCTTGGGAGTCATTGGTTGTTAATTGATTACAGTATTTCTCATTACTCTGCTGACTCAGAAAATGAATATCCTTCCCGATCAATTGCAGCTACTACTAGATCGCCAGCAGCAGCGTTTCAGAGAAAGCCAGTTGAATGTTTTGGACTATATGCGCACGCGACTGCTAAATCTCCCATGTTTCGGAGATGTGAAAGAAATTGATGAATTCATTTCTCACTTACATTCTGAACTCGAGAATGACTGCAGGACATATGAAGATGAAAACAAAAGCCTCTATGAATCCCTTATGATCAGTAATGCAAATGAGGCAGTCGCTCATAACCCGTCTAGCGATCCGGGAATGTCCAGTTCAGAATCATGCCCTGTTGTGGGTTCAAATCCCACTATTCCTGAAACGTGTACAGACAGTGATGTACCCAGCTCACAGGAAGATCTTTCATTAAATGCTCATAAATTAATTACAGTGCCCTCTCACAAGGAAACAGGAAACAAATCGTGCACTATACTGAGTCTAGCTGCTCCGAACGGTCCTCATCAGTCAACAACAGGAGACTCTGATGAATCTTATTATCTGGATTCTCTTGTACCAGAAAATGTGTTAGATGCCACAAATGATGATCAGAAGTTGAATACAATTTTGATAGATGTTAATTATCCCAGTGATCGACTATCCACAAATGAGGTTTTCAAGGAATTCTATGGTAATGTTCCAGAAGAATCAAAGGTTGATGACTTCATATCAAGCGACGTTGGTCCACACTACTTAATCACTTTTAGTGACTTCTCTGTTCCATGTGACTATCATGTGTTAAATAAAGTCAAATTAATTTTAACTTGGAGAGATGAGGACCCAACATTATTTCGTGGGGGAGGATGAACCCAGAAAATTTTAAAATGCAGATATGAACTCCGGATCATTCGAAAAAGGGGAGGTGTTAGGATAGTCGGGAAAAATAGACCAATAATTATGATGTTAAGTCCATTGGTGTCCTTGGACCTTAAATGTACATTTCCCATTGGTCGATATTTATTTAACGTGTCATTTTCCTGTTGGCCAATATTGTACAATGTTATTTTCTATTTTATGGTACGTTGTGGTCTGCTTGACTAGTATATAAACAAAGTATGTTTGAAATATAATGATTCATAACTCCGAGGCTGTGACTTTTGTTCTTGACTCAACTGGCTGGGGACAGATAGCGAGGCAGGGCCAATCAGGGCACTAGGTCATCCTTACAAGTTTACGTGTCACGGGTCACTGTCACAGAAGCGATCGATATAACGCTGCGTATCTAAACCTGCAGTCACTCACCCGTTACAACAAGAATCAAGGATATATTAAGGATGGAGGTTTAAGAACTCGTTAATGGGAGAGGAACAAAACTAATAACAAAAAACAACAAACACACACAAAAATGGATTACCAGGGTAGTAGTAGCCAGCTTCTGTGCAGTGAGTTACAAAAAAGGTATTGTACGAACCGTTTTTGACCGCGCACGTAAAATTTGCTCAAAAGAATGCATGAAAGAAGAAATCGCTCTCATCATTAAGTGCCTACGTGGAAATTCATATCCAACAAAATTCATCTATAAATATGCAAATACCAACCCTCGGGTAAAGTATGATAGAGTGGAAAAGAAAACTTGCTTCTTGTATTTACGCTTCAAAGGAGATGAAATTACTGGATTAATTAATCACAGAATAAATTCCGCGCTAGAAGTGACCTATTCAGCAGCAAAACTGACTACGGTATGGGAAACGAACTGCTCAGTCAAACAAATTAAAATCGACAAGTCCTCTTAGTAGATCCAACTGCATTTACCAACTCACATGTACGTGCCAAAGCACATACATTGGAAGAACTGAGATAAGAGTACATGTTCGCATTTTTGAGCATGTCCCAAAGAACTTGAGGCTGAGGGACTAAGGCACTCAACAGTGCAATAGCTCGCCATTTACTTGACACCGGGCATATCTCTCACGCTCTTAAAATTAATATCAGACAAAGAAGTACGGCTGCTCTCCATTTTGCTGAAGCGATCGCGATAAAAAACTTAAAGCGGATCTATGTATTCAAAAAGAGACAGCAATAAACTTATTACTACCCAGGTAATTCATTGTTTTTGTGTGTGTTTGTTGTTTTGTTCCTCTCCAATTAACCAGTTCTTAAACCACCCTTTCACTCGTACATTTCCGCTCACTTGATCCTCTTAAATTATGTGAACTCTTGAAATTCTATTCAATTATTACGTAACCCATCTTATCAATTTTAATTCCATGATTCCTTTATTGCCTCCAAAATTATCACACAGTTTATCTTATCTGTCTCTGAACTCCACTATTACACCATCCGTCCTTAATGTGTCCTTGATTCTAGCACCTAATAACCTCTGACCTATTCTTGCATACATATATTGTTAAGTTTGTCTTACATTGTTCCTACTCGTTCCCTTTCTACTCCTTTGTATATTGTCTTATACTACTTATTTACATTCAGTAAGCAGTTGTATTCCCAACAATTTTCACACTTATGTTGTAACGCAAGTTGTACTGTAATATTCTGAAATGATCACATATACTTATAACGTTTATTGTACTTATCATTATAATTACTGTATCTTAATCGCTGTAGCCGTTATCCACAGTTTTGTGCATTTGTTTAAACGCAATGGTTTCCATATTGTTCTGCTCTTGGTTCGAGTTTCGGTTGCTCATAAACTGTTATCAAATTTAGACACAGTTATCATCTGTCTTTGTACTATCGAAGCCTTTGTTATTTTCATTCTTGAAGGACGCGTTTAAACGCCTAGACACTTCACAAGTTGAGGTTTTTAGCTAAATTTAGTGTATTATTTAATAAAGAACCGCTAATGTAGACAAATCGTTGTTTTGGAAACTTCGGTTTTGCACGTATCTCAGTCGGGTGACTTGGCCGCTTCGATAGACTTAACACATATATATAGTTATCATTGGTAACCGTTGTCATTCCAATCCTTTGCATTCATTTATGTCAATTGTTCCATACTATTTCTTATCTCAATGTAAAATTCTAATACATATTTGGTTGTAAGCAAGTGACGATAAACCACGAACTATAATGAATTCTTATTATTCTGCATCATTATTTGTTCTGGCTTTATTTAAATTGTAAATTACTAGTATAGAACTTCTCAGAAGTACGCATCCATCTGTTTTATAATAACATTACATTAAAAAGAAGGCTATATATTTTTTTCTTCAAAAAAAATCCTGACCTTAGTAACTAAAATAAATCTCTTACTTATTATAATATATTTTTTTATTTTTTAGAAAATCAAATATTTCTATTATTTCCAATAAACGAAATCCTTATCATTCTATTAATAATAATAATAGCAACAATAATAATAATAAATTAATCAATAAATTCTCCCCCAAACAACAATTAACACATAATATAATTAAAAATCAATTAAAAAATAATCAAAAAGAATGTTATAAACAACAATCAATATCGAATACATTTATACAATCTAATATAAACAATTCAATTTATTATAAATCAATAAATAAAAATAATCAATATATTACAAGATTAATTTCAACTAATAATACATTAAATAATAAAGTTAATAGATCATCATCAATAAGAAAGAATTATATTAATCGAACAAAATCGATCGAACCAAAAATTATTCGCCATTTCAGTAATAAAATTGATCCAATCCAATATAATAATAATACATCAACAATTGACTCATTGAACAGTAATAATAAGAATGATCCGCTGAATATTACAGTTAACAGTGAACTGGAAATAGATTCAAAAAATGATCAATATACTTCAAGTAAGAATAAGAAAAATAATCGTTTGTTATTTATTATTATATTAAATATTTATTTTTCAATTCGAAAATTAATTTCAATGATCAATTAACATTGGATAAAAGAAAGACTATTAAAAAAATTAAGGAGTACTAGACGAGATGTCTTGTAACTGTGTAGAATTCTAAAGCAGTTATATAATATATATATATATATATATATATATCCATTTTTGAGTCCAGGTATAGAGTATCGGGTCAGTCAGCTACAACGTAGGACCAGGCACATATGTGCATCGGTCCACGTTGCCATACCTCATTAACACAGCAAGATGAACATAGGATTCAAATAAGTAGTTGATTCAGTGGTGGTAATTTATAAAAGAAAGATTGTGTATAAGGATATAGTACAGGAAGAGAGAATTAGTTCGTAGAAAGAATGATATGAAGCGATTTTAATCTCAGATTAAGGTAAGACAGAGAGTGTATACACCGACACCATTGTGATCGATTCTGAGGTATGTCACTCGAAGTCTCCAACTATTGGTTATGATAGTCATTCGGACCCCAACCAAATAGTCAGCATCTACTAACATGGTTCAAACTAGAAGTTAATGACTTCAAGCACTGATGCCACAATTTGTTTTGGCCACCCTTAAATTTCTTCCTATCATCCCGAACACCGGTTAGCATTGCACGTCGTGGTAATCAGTGTTCAGGCATACGCGACACGTGGCCCAACCATCTCAGCCGATGAAGATTCACAAACTCATCGACTGATTTACCATCATTCCCTAATACCGTGCGTCTAACCTCACTATTACTTACTCGGTGATCCCAGCAGATGCAAGTAATATTTCCAAGATATCTGTGGTCAAATATTAGTAGCTTACGAATATAGATTTTAGTCAGCTGAGGTAGTTGAAATATATGTTACGTATGTCTAGCCACCGCCCATATTGACAGGTGATATTGTTTAATGTAGAAGTTAACTGAAAGAAAGCTACGGACAGACAAAATAAGACTTGACATCAGTCTATAAAATTGACGGTAATTGAACTGAGATATGTAAATAGGTGTAGACTACTTGGTTACCGTCTACGTGATGATTGTAATCAATATTTGAGGATTTGGGTAATATAACTTAGAATCGTTTCCAATTATACAGGTGCATTCACTTTTTGTTTTCCTTTAAAATGTGGGTACCGAAATCTCCTAATACCCTTCTTCTAAACCTAATCTTTCCTACTACTACTAATACTGTTATTACTTCTACTACTCTGGGATCTATCTTGATAACTTTACGTATGTTTCAGGTTCTGTTTTGTCTACGTCTAATTGACTGACTTATTAATATCATATACGTTATTAAGTGTAGTTGGAATCTCAACTTTACTATTCAAGTATGGATTGGTATAATTTGGTTTGTTCACACATTAATTGTGTAAGAACAAGTAATACTAATTGTCTAAACTGAAGTATATGAAATGAACTCCGAGTTCGAAACTTAACGGCTGAAACTCGGCTTTTGTAATTACCGAATCTTGAATTTAATAATATTTGAAAAGTGTACTAGATATGCTCATTCATCGTCTGCTATAATACATGGTACTGTCTGAAACACTGCTAAGTTAAAATACTTATTCAATCAAATTACTAATGATTAGTTTATACGATATCTTTTCAATAACCTTATTTATTTCAGTTCCCGTTGTATTGTGTTAAAATGAGTTAATTTTCCTTAACTAATTCACTAGTATACTACTAGTTTCCATGTTTTTATCAGTAGTATACAATTTTCTGTATTCAGCTACAAACTGTAATTGTGATATAATTGTTGGTAAATGATATGTTATACCTCATTTGTATTGCTTGTTTGAATCGTTCCATTTATGTTTAGGACTAATCTATCAGGCTTTTATTGGCATATGTGCGAATTGCCTTCAGTCACAAACATTATAAGCAGAGATAGATGGTGGCTAAGAGTGGAATCTAGGACGAGTCTCAAATTAAACGAAATGTGCGTCCTGGATTCCACTGCTAGTCACCATCCATCTCTGTTTATAATTTATTATACCGTTTAATTTATCATTTTAAGTTGTATCACTAGTTTAATCACATGAGGTTTAATTAATTATGCTTTTTATCCTACCTATTTGTATAGTTTAAGCCTGTACAAATAATGTACATGTGATGATCAAATTTTACTTATTTCGTTTAAAGTTTAATTTTTAACGATGATGATCAATCCCATTGTAAAAGGGAGTAGATCAGGTGTAATTGTTTGATTGATTAGCATCAATTTCATAAACACATCGACATATTGGGAAATACATAACGCATAAAATCTTGTTTTTTTTCTTTAAGTAGCTTAACTTAGAAAAGCAAATCCAATTAAAAAAATGTTTATCAGTTTATGGTTGTGGAGACTCAATGAAACCATGAACCGATCTATGTCAGACCACAATTGAAAACCTAGAAGCACTGGAAAGCCGTTTCGTCCTAGTATGAAACTCAGTAGTGCGCATCTGCGACCCCTGATGAGACGCATAATTCAATAGTCATATGTGTCATTGCAGCCTATTGTCACCAGTATTCATATTTCAGTCATTCTTGTATACGAAAGAAACATTTGATGAAGAAATTCAGTCAGTCATGATCATCACAGAGAATAGAACAAAAGTGAGTTGACTCAAGTTGCCATACCATATCGGGACAAGACGAAGAGAAAAGGCAGCAAGATACTGTAGTAGCAATGATTATGAGGTAGACCAAATATTGAAGTGTGGTTGAAAAAGATAATCCAAAAATATATATGAATGGATACTGAAACTGACGATCTAGAAGAAGATAAAGAGTGGATACATCTGCATGATTGTGAACGATCTTAAGCCATTTCACATAACGTCTCCAACCATTGGTTGCGGTAATCACCTTGACTCTAACCAGGTAGTCTGGGTTTATCAACATGATTCAGACCAATAGTCACTGACTTCACTAACTGATGTCACGTTGTTTTTTGATTGCCCTCAGTTTTCTCCCAACCTACATCCGTAGCAGCTAGCATTCCCCATTGAGATAGTTGATGCCCCAGCCACCTCAGTCAGTGAAAAGACATAACCTCATAAATCGATTAATCATCTTTCCCTAGACCTATAAATCTAACGTTAGTCACTCACTTTGGTCCTATGTTTAATGGTTAAGATCAATCAGGAATAAGTTTTGAACTTTAGTGTTAGTAGATACTTGTCAGCAAGTCCTATCTACAATCGTAGGGGAATCGATGGTACTCTTCAGACTTGAATCCGCGCCACCGAGCGTCATTAAGATGTTACTCCTACGCTATTCAGGCTATTGTTCCAATAAAGTTTAATAAAGTTAGGCATTAACATCGTTGGGTGGCTGTATAATGATCTAGAAGATGGGCGTTCACACGGGTGACCAAAGGTCCTAGGTTCAATTTCTGCGTGCAGGTTCATGCACTACACCGATAAGGAGTCACATACTGGTACGAAATGGCCTCTCAGTGCTTACAGGCTTCCAATGGTGGTCCAGATTAAATCGGTTCAAGGTTTCAATTTAATGGTACTGATATGTAGTTGATGTCTTAGTAGAACCACTGATACTTTATCCTGGGTAACTGTGATCAAAATACACTGGACATGCTGGCCATTATTTGGAGTAATGAGGAGAATGGTAGTCTCGTTTCCTTATGATTGCTTACTTACTATTCTTTAGCGAAGAATTATTCATCAAAATTTCTTTTAGAATTTTATTTAAATACCATTAGTCAAATATTTAACATCATGCTGATTTTCAACCTCTAAGCACTTACAAGTTAATGTAGTGAATATTAGTCAAACATCTAAATTGTACACTCAACTGTATAACTACACCTTACAAATACATGCGCTACCATAAAATTGTTTATTCTGACTGTATGAAAAAGTATTTGATAATGTGAGTTTCATGCAGACAAATTCAATCTTTTGAGCATTCTATGAACTCCGATATAATGAGTACGATTTATTTAAAATCATAAGGAGCTGATTAAAGTTTTCTTATTTTTATTTAAACACATAAACATTGGTACAAGGAGGCACCAAATAGATATGCGCCACATAAATCATTCGATTTGTGTGAGGGCTGGGATACTGTCCGAGTGCCCAGACCGAAGCAGGTGGTTTTCTTAGGAGGCCATACTCGGAGCCTTTGACCTAAAGGTCTGATCCACAAGGCAGTGGAGATGCAGTCTCATGGTAGCCGGTGACCAACAATAGATTCATACCCCATTTATTTCCTTAGGATCCTGGAGCCCATTGGTTTGGAATGAGGGTTTTCTTCAACTTACTAGGTGGACCCTCCATATCCACCATTCGAGTTAAAGTGACGTACATTCGCTTTTCATCCTTTCAATTTCGTAAACAACACCCCCGCCACGGAAAGGTCGTGAGTAGGACTCCCCTGACAGTGGCTGTATGCACGTGGCCACTAGAGAGCATTTCGAGAGGGAGAGCTGACTTTCCCCACACTCGGCCGTACCAGGGCATTTGCGGACAAAGTCTTATGGAGAAAATGGAAACGTATTCTCAATATATATAATTGTTTTTTATTTATACACAAATATTTAGATATTTGACTGAAAAATATCCCCTTCCCTTTTATGATATTTATATGCAGCATTAAAAAGTACCAATATCAGTACTGATGTAAATAATTTCCCAAACATTAAAACAATTCATACTGAAAAATGCCATGAAACTGTTGTTGAAGAGAAAAGACTGTCAACTTCATCAAAACAAGTCAGTAGTTCAACGTTATCACAATGTGAAACTAATTTACATGCTCCATTAACTATTAATAATAATAATAATACATCAGTTCAAAGATGTTTTCCTGTGAAACGTCGTATTCTATCTAGAAAACTTAAAAATGATTATTCAAATACTCCTATTCATGTCAGTACTCAAAATAATTCGTCTAACTCTACATGTAATAATTATAATAATGATGTATCATTCCTGATACAAGATAATCAATCAATCAATAATACTTTACATTCTAATGATAATGAAATCAAATATAATTACGAAATTTCAAATAATTTATATCAAAAAAATTCTGAACTACGTGCAACATGGACTTTAGATTCAAAGACATATCCTTCTCTTACCATAGATACTATTAATTTATCTAATTAATGGACTAAAATTATTATGTGTAAAGGATGATATTACAGTTAGTCTATGGTGTTGTTAATGAATGATCATAATAATAAGTGTTCGTTATATATATATATATATATATATATATATATATATATATATATATATATATATATAAAATTCATATTAGTTCCATTTCTCTCACAAACTTTAATTTCTATTCTAATACCGGTCTACTTTTTTGAACGTTTGGTTATTCATACATACATACAAATAATTACTGATGGATAACAAATGTTCAATTTGACTTTTAATTAAGTTTACATGATTTATACTTTAAACAATTTTTAAAAATACATTTCTCGCATAAATCTTTTCTTTGAATTATAATGATAACGTAACTCATTTACCAATAATTATAGGTTTGTAATACTACTTGATTGTCCAGATAAAATAAGGGGTTGAGACCTATGGTTGAATATTTTAATCAATAAGCTACTACTGCATTTGACTTAATGAGATGAGCTCACACTTTATAATGGGTAACATACAAAAACTTGTTGAGAAGTGCATTTAGTTGACGTAATGGAGTTTATAATAGCATATTTGACCTCAGTAAAACATGTAGATGCTGATTAATTTTTGTATATTGTACTTTAGTTTAGTCTTATTCAGATGATGCAATATTAAAAAGTCTGATACGAAATACATTGAGAATACGTAAAATTCGTACATGGGTATTAGCAGATAGACCAAAAGTGAAGCATTGAATTAGTATATTAGTCAACTCCGAGTACAAGTTGATAATTGTGCTTATATATTGTTCAAGTAGACAATCGATAATTAAGTTAAAAGACACGTAAATATCGACATATGTGTATATAAATGCGTACGTTGGAAAAAGGTTAAAATTAACTATACAAGTGAATATAAAATAACTAATGATGTGATTAAGCATCTGATTGCCACATTCACGTTTATTTTTTCACACTGTTCAAATAAATAAGTGAGTAACACGAGTCATTACATGTTAAAGCTGGATACACTTTCTCAACCAGTTTCTATACAACTAAAATGCTATCCATCTATACTTATGGTCGGTGTCGTCAAGTTCAAAACTGAACAAGTTGAATTTAGGGTTCCATTACTCAACTAAAAAATGATACTGGATGGTGGGATTCATTTATTTCAAGCTCGTAATTAACACGTTGGACTAGGACGTCAATTCAAAGAACACATCTCGTTTGAATACATAATAACATATTTGATTAATTACACCCTAATTGATATTATTTGTTTTAACCTTGGCAACTCTGATCCTTAAATTATTCAACGTTCCCAAAGGGATTTTGTTCATTAGTGCTTTAATAACTATCAGCTTTGTTCTACTACATTTTTATCGAAATTGGAATGGACAGTTGTTTTTTCTTACAAAGATCGCTTAACCATACTGAAACTATTTAGCAGAAATCCCTATAGTTCACCAGCTAACTTACTACTATATATGAGAAAAGAGCATATTGGCAATTTATTAAAAAATAAATCAATTAAAATAAACTAAATAACAAATTGTGTACATATAGTCAGTTGGGAATAGCTGACAAAAAAATCAAACGTAGACAGAAATAAAGATTTCTTCGAACGAAATACCCAAGCGAGACCGGTGCATCATCTACTACATTCATATCTTAATTGTAAAAGGTGAAATCACAGAAAAGCAAGAAGCAATATTTTATTTTGGTCGGATTCCTAGAAGTTTGTTCATTTGACGATTTTGATTTGACATAGTATCAGTGACTCGATGAATTTGCGGCGCCATTCGATCAAGTTGGTCATTTTGACTTCTTAATTCATTATGCATACCTTGAGCTAAACTTTTTAATCGAGACATGCCATCGCCCATTAGAGCTAAATTGTTCTCAAACTCAACATCTGCAGATTGCGAGGTGTTTTTGGGTTCCTATTTACAGGAAAAAAGATATGATATTAACGGGAATGAAGTGAATTCATCAGTGATAGGATAGTTTGCATTAGCCAAGATATTATCAGTCAGAGATTCTAGGTTCGACCACAGATGGTCCAGAAATTGTTCCCCATGAATAAAGAAGTCTATCATCTAGGGGTCGTAATTTACCCCCCCAGTTACCTATCTACTATCATATAAATGCCCTAGGAAGCACTTTATTACAGACAGATAATGAGGATTAAGACCGCTGCAAAACTCACATAGCACCCACCAAATGGCACTTCCTTCTGTACAAGCAATTGAGTTTGACGATTTATGATTTTCAATCTTTTGCACGATTAAGATGAATACGTCGTTACCTTCCCATATAAAATAGAATACTTAATGAAGGAAATTTATTCATATAGTGGAAAATAACGTCTACTTTTTGACCCAAAGCTCCTTTGCATAGTCACGCGCTAAGTGGCGTTTGTCAAGGTGACTGCTCTGATTAACGTCACGTAGCTTGCGAGTACTTACTATTAAATTTGATAGGTGCATACCAGATGTGACAATTTTTTAGCATATGATGACTTAATGCACCTATCTTTTATTCCAAACACGACTGTAATAACAGGATCCTAGGAGGAATGCAATTCGGATGTTAAAGCTGAGGAATTTCCACTGTACTCAGATCTATAGTGGTGAGTAGAGCTATTATTATTAGATAATGGCTTGGGATGGTAATTAACAAGTGATAGTGGTGAACAAGTTAACACAAGTTGTTCACTTTCAAATAATATATAGTAATAATTGTCTCCAATGAGATATGCTAAGGACTTACAATCATTTTTTGTTGCAATGTACTTGTGTACTGATTGCCCCATGAATTTTCACACTGAATTGATTGTCTCAGATTACTTTGATTTCTATTATTCAACGTCTTGTCCACCACCGAGGAGCTTTGAGGAACAGGTTGTGATTGTCTACCGGAAAAATACCGATGAAAATTAACATAAATTAGTAGTAATTTACAGTAAGTTGATCGGAAAGTCAAAACATTTGTGTAATTTCTAGATTAGAACTGATGAGTCCTCAGACTGTATTATCAAGTACCAACAATCTTTAGAATCATTATTAATGAGACTTAACTATGCAGAAAATTTGATTTGATGGCGAGTAGATTTGACTTCATAGCTTAAACATGTAAAAGAGAAACCATCCGGAGTTATTTATTTTTCAAATTATGATAAGAATGGAGTTCATATGCACAATTATTAATTATCCTATGATTTCCAAATACCAAATGAGATTCTATGTATCAAATAGTCAATAAACTTGTGATTTGATATTATATTTCAGTTTGAAACTATAAGATCTCATCTACAATGCTCCCACTGTAACCACTATTGTATGTCAGTGAATAAAAAAATGAGATATATAAGTGGAAAACCCCTTGATAATCTCTACACTACTAATGGATGACTTTAACACCTCATCAATTTACGTTTCAATGTACTTAGATATTTAGTGCTAACTGATTAGATGAAATTATATACATATGTATACAGGTTTATCCGATTGATCTTCGAATACTAGACAGAATCGAAGAAACTGTAGCACATATATGTCTTGTTCAAAAGAAATAAACTATGAGTAGGTATGATTTCGACCAAGGTTCAAGAGTTTCTGATCACTCAGCTCTCTTCAAATGTGAAACATGAACATTTTATGATGAACTTGTAATCGACTACGTTATGTTTGTCTCAAACTAGTTGTCCCATTTTTTGTAAAATTAAGAATATGAGATTGCAACATTACGTTTGAATAAGTTATCACATTAGCCTATGTTATCAACCGATCACCGATTTCGCAAAAATCTAACTGACAAATTTGACGTGAGTAAACGACGTAATTTATAAGAAAAGATTAGAAAACATAATACCCAAGTAAATTGAGTTGTACTTGAACTTTCATGTATACATATACAAAAATACATGCACTAATTATTATGAGAGAGAAGTAAAAATGTACCGTCTGTACCAAAAAGTGTGATTAAACTACACACAAAAAATGTTATATGTTGAGATATTAAAGTACAGAAAGTTACCACCGGAATTCAAATCTGTGATTCACTTTCGAATTTCAACTACTGAATTAATACAATTCTTAATCTATTTCATCAGTTTTTGGAATTTTGTAAACAAAACTTATTTAATGGTAGAATTCACTAGTTAAGCTAGACCGCCACTGAAAGCCTGGGAGCACTGGACGGTCGTTTCGTCCTAGTATGGGACTCCTCAGTAATGTGCACCCACGTTCCTGTATACGGAATTTGAACCCAGGGCCTTCGGCCTCAAGCGCGGACGCTTGACCTCTAGACCACTGAGCTTGCGTCCAACTACTAAATTACTACAATCTCCGCAAACCCTCATTCTGACAAAACTTATTTAATTAACCTTACTATACGATAAATATGGCTTACCATCAGTAAATAAACTCTTAATTTGCTAATGATTATGAATACTGTTCGTAATAGAAAATACACCAGCTAATAATAACAATAATAATTCGAAATCATATCTAAGCTCGTTGTATGGATATTAAATGTTAAAGTATAGTTAACAGAATAATTTAAAGTAATGGACGTGATTTCAGACTACTCATTTTCCGGATATCTAGTAAGGATCCTCATTTAACAGAAACTTTTTTTTCACTTTCAAAGGCATCAATTCTCTTATTGGAAGTCAAAATAATAGAAAAGAAACATAGAAAGCAGATCATATGAATAAATTACTTTGTATCTAATATTTTAAAAGAAACTTATATTTTATTATGGCTTACATTTGTAATTTTACTTACCTTCGAGAAAAAATGTTTTTAAATCCACCGAAAACACTAGATAAAGTATTAATTTTCTTTTGACTATCTTTTTGCAATTCACTAATTTCTTCAAGCTTCTGTTCAGCACGATTTAATTTTTCTCCTTGTTCAATAAGTTCTTGGGCTGCTGCAACACCAATTTGTTCTGAATTATATATACTGGACAATGCACGTTGTTGGCTAGCTTTTGTTCTTGACTGACTATCTGAAATTTGACACTGAATAGCAGGAAGAAAGTCAGTTCATTCAATTAGTGTCGATATGATGAGAATAATCAGAATCAAATGAGTTAAAACTACGAATGTTAGATTAGTTCCGTCGATCTACTGTGGTTAAAAGTATTTTAAGAGTGATATATATTGTAGTAAACACATAGTTTAACTTTACGAATGAAAACACTTTTA